GAAAACAACAGAGGTCCCAATATCGAGCCCTGTGGTACCCCCCAGGTTAGATCAAAGTACTCTGAGGAATAACTTCCCATCATAACACACATTTTTCTACTTGCCAGATATGATCTAAACCACTCCAGGGCTAACCCTGAAATCCCGACATAATGATGTAGACGGTGAAGCAGCACTTCATGATCTATCGTGTCAAAGGCAGCCGTGAGGTCCAGCAGAAGTAACAACACAGAATTACCGCTATCAGTTGCTAGATAAATGTCATTGAGCACTCTAACCAGTGCAGTCTCCGTGCTGTGTAGAGCTCTGAAGCCAGACTGGAAAGTCTCAAAAATGGCTTCCTCATCCATAAAAACCAAGAGCACCCTGGACCTGCTTTTCAACAGCCGAAGGACCCCTGTGTTCAAGTCACCTGTCAAACTGATGCAGAGCTGTCGACATTTCTTATGGATGGGTAAGTATAAAAAAGAGTGTGTGAGTGTGTGTGTGTGTGTGTGTGTGTGTGTGTGTGTGTGTGTGTGTGTGTGTGTGTGTGTGTGTGTGTGTGTGTGTGTGTGTGTGTGTGTGAATGAGCAACATAATGTGGCAATAATAATTGTAACGGTGTGTGTTCACAAATTAGAGGCACTGGTGTGGGGAGAGAGGTTTAAAGCAGCAAAACAGATTTCCACCACTAGGTGGTGCCTTCTGCTTTAATGCAGACTAGTCGTTAGCATATCTGTCTACAGCACTAATCTGTTTCTCCAAACTAAGGCTGCTCACAGCAGGCTTCACAGCATCACAGCAGGCTTCCATCTTTTTCTGGTTGAATATCTATCAGTTCCTACAAATTTTATCTTCTGCTTTAAACATTTTTTGCAAGAAAATCTAAATATTTAAGGTGGGTTTATGCTTGTACACCCCAGAGTTTATATTTATGTTTAAAAGAAGCTCAAATGAAAAGAAAAAGAAAGATTTATCATTTAATCTGCAGGGGTCAAATGCTTCTAAACAAGGTTTTTATTTTACTTCTTTCAGTCACTTAAACTTGATACAAAGGAACAGTTATTTTAAACCCTTAGTAACAAAAAAGAGAATATTGTAGATCATTTTTGCAGAGTAGCCAGGTGTCCTCCATGAATTCGGTCCATATTTTTACACTCAGACATCTCAAACATGTCACGTTAATGTCAACGTTAAACACGATAAAGAGGGAGTCTGAAGCTAGACCCAAGGAAAACAAAAGTGACAGAGAAGCAGGAGCAGAGGATTACCAGCTGCAGATAAAACATTTCAACCTCATTTTTAACCATTTATTCCACCACTGGGATGCAGTTTTCAGCAGAACGGTGCCACGCTGATGAAAAACGTGCTTAGCCTCACTCTGAAGACCCTGGTGGTGAGCCGGGAGAGCTGCCGCCAACCTAGTGAACTCAAAAATCAGGACTCCACACGTGACGTAAACATCAGCTTGTTCTCGTCTCTCAGCTGTGATTGATTCTCACGCCGCCTTGGCTGAGGGTTTAATTGATTTACGCTTATTGTAAACTGCTGCACAAGTCCATGTAGGACTGCTGGTCATCTCTGAACACACACACACACACACACACACACACACACACACACACACACACACACACACACACACACACACACACACACACACACACACACACACACACACACACACACACACACACAGTTTACTTGGAATGTGCAACAAAAAGAGCACTGGTGCTGAGCTGCACAGAAACATTGATATGACCTGCTGGCCTGTCTGACTTTGAGCCTAACGACCACAAACAGGCTGCTAAAACGCTCCAGTAATCAGCAAAGCCACAAGTAATTAACTACACTGTTTCTAAAATGAAACAAAGGGCAGAAATAAATAATATTTTATGCTTTTAGCTTAAATAACACTTTCAGCAAGTGGCAGGAAGGCCTAAACAAAAGGAAGACAGCCTGCAGTGAGAGCTTGTGAGTGCAGGACATGGGAGGAGGAAGAGGAGGAGGAGGAAGTGCAGGCTGGGGAATGGAGGTGGGCGGTGAAGCTTTGAGACACAAAAAGAAAAACAAGAAAACAACAATGCACTCTCCACTAAGAGATGCTTTCTGCAGGGCTGGGTGGACCACATCAGCAGAGTCCTTCTCAGCTGGATCAACATCCCTCTGTCCCCGTCTCCTCAAGTGCTGCAATGTCCACATTTAGAATAAGATGTCCATCTTCCTCTGCTGCTAACCTCTTCATCGGCTAATTCTGAACTACCTGTAATTACTGGATGTGAATTTACCTAATTACTTAAAACTAAAGAAAGTTCATGCGTTCTTGTCCTTTCTATTCTTACGTCAAAAAAAAATCCCAAAACAAAAGGAGGACAATTATGATTGCAACTAACAATTATGCTCATTTTTGTTTAGTCTGCTAATTATACGCCGGTTGCTTTTCAATTATTCGGCTCATTGTTTTGTAAATAAGAAGATGGGGGAAAAAAAGAGCTCAAGAGATTGCGTTGATGCACTCAGACAGCTCGTTTTATTCTGAAAACTAAAGCTTTCAAATCCTTATGAGGAAACAGGAGGAAGGAAATATTTGGCTTTTCTGTTTGGAAAAATATCCCCAAAAACTGTGAAAACATTTGGAACACTAACCTGATGAGAATGGATATGAGTTTTTGTCAAAATATCAACACAAAAAGACATTTAGTGCAGTTATAAATCCTAATGGAACACTTTACAATTTGGTCTACATCTTTTCGAAAATGTCATATTTATGCAGCAGACTTCTGCAAAAACCGGAAGAGACGTCTGCACAGCCATCAACTCCCAGGGCCGAGACAAACAACAACGCTGCTGTTGGTGCCACAGATATTTTCTGCTTGCTGCTGGGAGCATAATAATTGCTGCACCGTGACGACAACAACACAACCCCCACCATGCGCCCGCTGCCGAGCCCCCACATTCAGACCTGGACCTGATTATGGAGTGTAACGGAAATCATCATTGGCAATCAGCAAGAATTTACAAGACAATGTTCCAGTCCAAGTCCTGCCTCGCCGACACAAAGAGCAGTTTGGGTTGCAGCGGTTTTAATAAATCAGGCCGGTCTGACAAAGATAAAACCTTTCTTACAAAAAATAAAGACCGTGTTTAAGATTGTACATTTCACACTGGCATTTAGGAGAAACATCGGTATTTATTAGTGTCTTTTTTTATCATTTATTTTTTATTTGTGTGAGCATTACAGTATAACGTTTACTTTACTGCCCTTTAACTTTACCACCAATACTCAGTTATATTTATGATGTAGAAAACAAAATGACTTCACAATTTTGAACAAAGAAAAAAAAAGGGAGGGAACGACAAGTCAGTATGAGAGCACTTTAAGTGCTCCTCGAGGGATTTAAGTAGGGTATGAGATACAGGTTAGGAATCTGGTGTGCTGTCTATTTAAGGCCTGCATATTTTATCCACTTGGTCCATCGCTTAGTAAATATATCTTTCTGAAGGCGAGGGGAGAAGGAGATCCTCTCCATAAGGAAGATGTCGTTTACTATAGTTGTCCAATCCTGTATTGCGGGTGGATCTGGGAGTGACCAGTGTCTCGTAATTACTTTTTTACCAGCGGTTATCAAAACCTTAAATAAGTATGCATCAGTTGTCTCTGCAGATGTAGATTTCCTAAAAATAATGTGGGAAACTGCATAGGTATATTAGTGTTGAATAGACCACTTAGTGCTTTATGAAGCTCTAACCAGAAGGGTTTAACCACTCGGCATTCCCAAAAGATGTGCCAGTGACTGGCTTCTCTGTGCCCGCATTTTCTCCAGCACATGGCTCCCCCTCCAGTTAAATGTGCTTTCTGGGTTGGTGTGATAAAAAAGTGGATCATACACTTCCAGCTGAACTCTCGCCAGAGCTGGGAGCTGGTGCATTTCCATTGGGATTTACAATATTATAGCGTCTTATTTCTAGGAAAGTCCTCCTCGGGCCCTATACCTTCAAAATCTTTGGGTCAGAATGTGTTTTCTTGAGTTTTATTTCACCCTTTTTACATCTGATTGATACATTGCAGATGAAACAAGGCATGGAGTCGTTGTTTATGCCTCGTCTAGCTCCAGAGAAACTAAATGAGATGTGCTGCAAGTAGCACACTGGCACGGCCCTCTGACACCCTGCTGCACACAAACAATGAATGAAATGCGGTCCATGTCTCTATTATAGATGGAAAATTTTAAATTAAAATCTGGCTCGTGCTGATGCTAATACCTCTATTTTTCCATGCATTTAAAAATTTCTTTTTAGCAAAATGTTACAATTAAGCAATTTTTTAAAATATTCCAACAAAAATACAGGAAATGTTACATTTATAAATGATATAATTTTATCAAATGTATGCTCCTAACAATAAAATATGAAATTAAAGAGGAAATTTTGATTAAAATCCTGTGTAGTTTGCTATAAATACTGTGTTACCACCCTTTATTCAACCAGGGAAGGCTGTAAATGAGAAAATCCTGGGCCTTCTGTGGTTCACATGCAGCAACATAATGAAAGTGCTTTGTCATGAATTAGGCTGTTTTCTGTTATTATGTACACCCTGAAAAAATGCTGCAGTGTGCAGAAAGAGGTGTTGGTCATTCAGGAGCTGTTTTATTTGCTCTCTTTGTGCAATGCCGTTATCAGATTGGCAAAATAAGATTTTTTGGTCAAAGTCAGAAAAATATTTGCATCTTTTCTTCCAAAACAAGTTTTGATGTTCCTCATTTATTTTCCTGTTTTGACCAAGTGGAATAAAAAGTTGTGTTTTATTCGTAGTTAACTGGAAAATGCGTTTTAATGATGAATAACTTGTGTAAGTAACTTAATCACTGGACATTTAATGGCAGTTGTATTCTTATTTATTGGTAAAAATGTAATTTGAAGATCTTAAGAGCACACTGGCACATTTCTGAGCATATTTAGCGTTCCCAGTTCTTTTAGGCTCACTCGGCAGCACAGATGCTGCTCTTCATCACTCTTACCTTTTTGTGTCTGTCTTTGAAAGGTAACGCAGGCCACGGCATCTCCTGCAAAAAGCCCTGCCAGTGTTTCTGGTCCTGATCAGACGAGATGAAAACGATTTCCAATTTTTCCTTGTGCTCGGAGCTCTTCTTAAACCTGCTGTAGAACTCGCACAGGCTGCTGTTGAACTGCTTGCAGGGACCGTTCAGGCTGCACCCGAAGAAGAGCCCGACCAGGGACAGCTTGGCGCCCAGAGACTGCACGTCCACCTCGGCTTTCTCGCTGTTGACGAGCCGCTCCCCGAGCAGACCCACCAGAAACTCCGACATCGCGGCGCACAGACCTCGGAAAACACGGCGTAACCCTCAGCCGAGGTGGCGGCACGTGTAACCGCAGCGTTCAGGGCAACACCCGGCACTCCCTCCAGCTCTGGGTTGGAGGTTTTAAAGGTGAGATCCGAGCCCCGGCGAGGCGTTGAGGTGCGTGTTCCCACCGCCGCTCGTGCTCTGCTCTGAGCCCTGTGCAGGAATGCGCTCCTCTTTAATCTCCCTGACTGCAACAAGGGGTGCGCTCTTTCATTTTTATCACCACATTTCATATTTTATCTACTAAGATAACACTTCCAGCGTTTTTTCCCCTCTAAATTTCTAATGCATTATAACATGTAAACTAAATTGGGCCAAATAAACAAATCTGATTGCGTTTTTCAGTGTCAAACATTGTGGTGTAAATGAGACGTAATCATTGTCTCACCGCAAAAACACATTGTACGCGTCACAGTTAACGACTTTCATGACTTGTTGGGTTTCTTTACACAATTATAAATGAAAATCAGTACATTTCTATGAACACTGTGGTGAAACCTTTAAGGATGTACTGCCACCTAGTGTTCACAAGAGGACAGCAGCCTTTCAACCGAGCAGCGACGCGTCAAACGTGGTTTATAATCATTTCATTTCTAATATTTTGTGGAGCTCTACTTGAATCGCAACTGGTTAAATTTAATAAGCACTGTTGAAAAACACATTTCACTTGGATTTAATGACAACATAAACCTCAACTTGCATCAGTTTTTATTAATTTATGCGTGTTTTTTTTTTCCAAATAATTAGGACAAAGCATGCTGCTTTCAAAAATCGAACAAATGGAGATCGGAAATCACTGATTTAAGGTAAATAAATGAAAATGGTCGAAAAATCACGAGAAAACTTTTATATAAGAATGGGATTTTGCATAACAAAGCAACGAAACTGGACTTTTTATCCTGAAGTAGAATAGCAAATGTTACTAGCAAGTCAAAACAGAATGAAAACAGTCTTAAAAACGTTAACAATTTATAAGTACTGTTTTAATCTCCATTTTGTAAATGTTTCTTTAATTCAAATGTCCTTATTTTCTGGAAGTCATTAAGAACTCTTTATAGATCACAATGAATCCCAAAAGCTAGCTTTAAAATGACTACTTTAATACAATAAATAATGACAAAAACAAATGCTCAAAATTAAGTTTTCTTTTATTCAACATCATCCATAAGATAACATATTTAGCAAAAATCATGACAAGTTTTTTTATTGCAATAGTGTGTGTATATTAGTGTGTGTGTAAACTTTTAAAGGTGTCCTTCAATATATTCCTATGCTGACTGATCACCTGTGTAAACACTGCTTTGTGATTTGTTCATAAACATACATGGCTGACACCACCAAATTAAATTTATATTAATATCAAATCATTTATGAGAGCATAAATCAAATGTTGTAAAATTTAAGTTGCTGTTAATTAACGAAGAAATATCTGCTTCATTATGAGATTTGGACATGGGGGGGATCGTTCAGTCTTCAGTGAACATCATCCTGATCAGTTCTGGTTTGAATAAGTCTTCCTCCACCAACTTCTGAGGCTGAAACAAAGAGGTCACTATTGATTTTTGAACACACTTAATAAGATCATTTGGGGAAAAAAAAGACACAATGCTACATTTGGTTATGCTACAGATTTCTAATGACCTAATTTGTTAAAATAAGTAGTTAATCTTATCTGTATGTACTTACTGTGCCATATCGCAGCAGAGTAGGAACTCCAGTCAAGCTCAAGTTTTTCTTGAAGTCATTATTTTGATCCTTCCAACTAAAACAAAATATAAGCTTTATTAGGTAGATTGTACAATAAAAATGCGGAAAAAGACACATCACTGAGTCCCATGAGTTTAATTGAAAAAATATATGTATTTTGCGTACTTCACCAATTTACCACCTAAATCACACCCAGTTAATAAAGCGTATTTTTAAAATTTTATTTGGATACAATTTTAGGTTTTGTCCAGATTTTTATCTGATTATTCACTCGAACGAGGTGTGTGGAAAAGAAGAGCAAAAACGGACTAAGTTCTTTCTCCAACTTGACAGTATATGAAGACAGATCCCTCTGGAAGGTGGCTCAACTCTTCTCTTACAAACGGCTCAGCTGAAAAGAAAGAAAAAGAAGACCAATTCACAGAAAGTACAACAGAAAGTATAAAAAAATACTTGAAAAAACTAACTTCCCAGCTTTTTCCAGAACAGTATTTCCTAACGAAGACAACAGGGTTTCCAACATTTTTAAAACAAAGAAAATTTAAATAGGCTATTTGAAGTTACCTTTCACACAATCTGGACACCAGCTTTTTCCCTCAGCGTCTTTATCACCAGAGAAATAGGCGAAAATGTCCTTCCCTTTCCGTTCAGACACAGCCTTGCAGAACTCACTATACCCATGAACATTAACTTCTTCGTAGTGGGCCATTGTTTCGGATAAAATTGTTAAAACAAAACAGTTTTCTGCCGCTATTTCGATGAACTACAACAACTATTAACGCTGCACAAGACCTCAGCAGAGTTTAAAGTACTACTTCCGGATAGTGCCGGAAGTGCGCGCGTGCAGACAACTTCGATTTTAATTTCTTTTAATTTAATGCTAATTTGTTTCATATTTGGCTATCTTTCATTACGACTCAATTGTAGCGTACATGGAATTTTTCAAACTTGTAATAAAAAAAGTAAAAAAAAAAAACTACTTCCGTCATTGTCTGGGTTCCATCCATATTTATATGTCGATGGTTCCATCTCGTGTGGGTGTGATTGGAAATGCACCACTTGGATAAATTCGCTAAGAAAGCTTTAGAAGTTAGTGTAACAATCAAATGCAATCTTGCTAAACCAGAAGCAAAATTTTAATAAAAAATTATTATGAAAATATGGCAAAGTAAATGGGATGAGGAACATAAGGGATGGTTTTTATATAGAATAAATCCTAGAGTTGGAAAAGGTAGACAAGGAGGCAAAGGCAGAAAGGAAGAAACAGTGTGGACCAGCCTCCGCATAGGTCATACGGGACTGAAGAGCACGTTATATTTAATGAACATGAAAATGGTAGATGTTATGTTTGCAATGATAAAGAATCTGTTGAACATGTAATTATGTATTGTATAAAATATGAGAGTGAAAGGAATTTGTTTAAAATAAAATAGAAAATATTAAAGAAATGTTTAATGTTGAGAATATTTTAAGTAAGACATTAGATCATAAATGTGCTAGATATTTTTTGGAGTTCTTAAAAGCCCTAAAAATAGGATATAGTGTCTTTATTTAGACGAAATATTTTCTTATTTTATCTTTTTTTGTGGTTTGCACACTGCATACATTGAGGAGTGTGAACAGTAGTAGCGACTGTTCACATGCGATCCGGAGGGTGGCGGTAATGCGCTAAATAGCTTGCATCCGTTGTTAAACACTCACTGAAGAAGAAGAAGAAGAAGAAGAAGAAGAAGAAGAAGAAGAAGAAGAAGAACTTCTTCAGTCGCTTCCGTCCGTTGTTGTCATGGCGCCGTTTCAAACTGATGCCAATTATCCTCTGACATTTACAACGTTACACGTGATGTATACTTTAATTAGCCTCCCTGTCTGTATAATTCGCCTATGATTACTTCATATACGCGATTTAGTAGTTATATTTTATGGCAAAATGGTCATACAGACGATTTTTGGGATTAGCTTGATGTAAGCGCAGTAAATGTTAGGTAAAGCTAACATTAGCGTTGGGAACAGTACGTGTTTACATTTTTATCATACCTTGTTGATAGTTTATTTGCAATGACTGAACAGTTCTTAAGGAATGATGCTATTATTATGTTGGGACGCCAAGACAGAAATTGGGTTGCTGTTGGCTCAGATCGAAACGAAAACAATCATGATTTGCGGACGTACCAGACAAAGGTAAACACTCTTTCTCACAGCTTTCTCAGTCTTGTTAATTCTTGACATCGAATCTCCTTGTTTATGTTTTGTACCTGCGTTTAATTTGTAAATATCATCGAGTTACTCATCTGTATCAGTGAGGATTGATTATGTAGAATTTCTGATCATGAAGAATGGAATTAAAAAGTTAAATCAGTGGGGAAATGCTAGTGCCACAGCAACAATTCTTTGCATGAACAAAAAAGAGTGTAAAAAATAAAAAAGAATAAATAACAAGAAAACACAACACAGAAATACCTAAGACTACAAAACTCAAAGATTCAAAATGCTGAATATATACACATTTAAATAAATAAAAAACATGTAAAAGTAAAAAACATAGATGGTAGAGGGGGTTTCAGGAAATAGGAAACATGAATAGAAAACTGCAACTACAATAATGACAACTTCAAGGTAGGATGACAGCAGAAAAAAGTGCAAATCACAAAAATAGCAGATATGAAGGAAATAGAGATAATTTAACTTACACTGTGCATACTGACCAAATCATGTACCTTCTAGGGTTGTCACGGTGTGAAAATTTAACCTCATGGTTACTGTGACCAAAATTATCACGGTTTTCGGTATTATTGCGGTATTTTTTTAAACGTGTTACATTTTCAGACGACTAAATAAACCCTGTATATCATCAGAAAAATATTGTCCTCAGTTTGTGTCTAAATTTTGCCTAAAATTAGTTATTTTGTAATGATGTTGTTTATTTGTTTACATTTTTCCCCTTTAGTCTTTAAAATACCAATATTTGCCCATAACTTCTTATTTCTTGTCTGTTTGATGTCATCTTTTTAAAAATATTAGATCAGATGATACTCAGTACTCAAGTAGCCTTCTAATCAGATACTTTTTTTACCCTTACTTGAGTAATAAACCCTATATCAGGAAAATATTGTCCTCGGTTTGTGTCCTTCCAGTGAGCGTTGCAGATTTGGGAAATGTCATCAGGCAGTAATCATTGTTAAAATCATAATTATTCTAGGAGAGAGACCAACTCTTATCTGCCCCTGGGAGCCCCGTAATGCATAGCATCATTTCAACATGGGGGTGTCCTGCGGCACAGTTTATACGCAGGTAGCGGCGCTGTGGCTGCTTTATATAGCGACTCATTTCATTTTCCCTCAACCCAAATCCTTGGATCACGCATTTTAGCTAAAACGCTAATGTTAACTTGCCTTGCGTTGACTGTAGAGTTGTGGGTGATGGTCATGCAGATGTGTCATGAGATTTGAAGCGTTGCTGCCTTCCACAGACACTTTTTCTGCACGTGCTGCAAACAGGATAGCCGTCTTCTATCAACTGTCCCTCGGTATTCTTCAAATATCCAAAAAATGCCCATACTTCTGACTTCGTCTTCTTTATGGGATAATAAATGTCCAGGGGTCTCATTTATCAAACATTGGGTAGAATCCTTACTAAAACCGTACTTATATCAAACATGGAGTATGCACAGCTGCACGCAATCTCCGCTTCATAAACCGGAGACTAACAAGAATGTTTCTCAGCTGCATTTTAGTCACCGGGGCGACGGTGGCACAGGAGTTAAGTGCTCGCCCCGTAATCGGAAGGTTGCTGGTTCGAGCCCCGCTCAGTCTGTCGCTGTTGTTGTGTCCTTGGGCAAGACACTTAACCCACGTTGCCTGCTGGTGGTGGTCGGAGGGACTGGTGGCGCCTGTGCTCGGCAGCCTCACCTCTGTCAGTGCGCCCCAGGGCAGCTGTGGCTACATTGTAGCTCATCCCCACCGGTGTGTGAATGTGTGTGTGAATGGGTGAATGACTGATTGTGTTGTAAAGCGCCTTGGGGGGTTTCAAGAACTCTAGAAGGCGCTATATCAAATACAGGCCATTTACATCCCGCCCTCACCACGCCCACTTACTGCCATAAATAGTCAATGCAAAGTGCCTTGTGGATCTCATGCATATACATAAGCCGGCTGTTGCAGCGCTCCGCCAATGGCGATGGCGACCGTAGATCAAGGCAGATCAAGGAAGCACAATTTCACAGGAACAGAAGTTGAGGTACCTGTGGGTGAGGTGGAGAAGTGAAAGGAGGTGCTTTTGCAAAACAAATAAGTGAAAATCCACGGAGTGGCACAGAGTTGCTGAAGCCGTCAATACTGTGAATTCTTCAGAGAGATTTGTGGCGGATGTAAAAAAAAGTGATCCAATCAGGATTCGATCCCCAGACTCCCGGGTGAAAGTCACGCACGCTAACCAGTCAGCCAAACGGAGATCTCCCCTGTACAAGTAGCCAGGGTGCATGATCAATCGGGTCACAGTGACAGGACACTGTCACAGACGCATGACATTCTGTCTCAATCTGTCCCCCTGCTGATTTCTGCATTCCTTATTCTGGCTTCAGGCTGTGTGTGTGTTTGCGTGCGCACGCGTGTGTGTGCGCGCGTGTGGGGGTCTTGTTCTGTGTGAAAACGAAGCACTACAAGTGGTAATGCTGCAGGATTTCATAATGTTATCCTTCTCAGCAGCAGCACTGCAGGTGCTCTCCATGTCCAACATGTGTGTAAGCCAGGTCCTTAGTCAACTTAAAGTTGCGCACATTTTTCCGCTAAGTTTTCTTTCATAAATCCCAACGTTTGCGTGGAAAGTTGCTTACGCAGTTTTCCTACCCCATTTTGTGCGTAAGCAAGCTTGATAAATGAGGCCCCTGAGCGCTGCCGTCTCCTTCTTTGGCCATTATTTCAGCTTTAGCTTCAAGAAAGTTTTGGTTGTAAACAAAAAAGTGCGCATGTGCCCCCGGCAACTTCAGCAGATGATATGGTGGCTGGTAAGGGTCACCGCGCCTACACCGCAGCCACGGTAATCCACTGAGATAATATATTTAAAAAAAACTAGACGGTTATTATTATTTTCAACTATTTTACTGGGGTTAACCGCTACACCGGTTACCGTGACAACCCTAGTTAGTACCTTCTAAAGTTTTTGGGAAACATGGTCATGTAGAAATTATTGTTGCATTGCATCCTTGTGCTGGAAATCAGTCAAACTCCTTAGATAACATTGCTTGGTTTTCTAAACACAGCGTAGTAAAGATTTGTTTTTACCTTTTAAGCTGACAAGTTCTGGCTAACACTGTAGCCTCCTCCAGAGCACCATCGATGTTAGTGGTGTCACTTCCTTCTTCGTTTATCTGCGGGCAGCAGTGGATGATGTCGCCCTCTTCTAGGGACCACCATACAATGGACTGGGACAGCACAAAGATTTGAAACACAGAACAACAAAAATACAAAAGATGGATTAACAAAGCGATAGAAGGAGACATGGAGCCAGATCTTTGAACAGAGATGATGGAGTTTACACATTAGATCACTCATGGGACATTGCCATCGGTGAGGAGGGTGCTGGCAGTAGAGGGTGACATCGTCCTTTGCTTCCAGCAGATAAACGGAGAAGGAAGTGACGCCACTAACATCAGCGGCGCTCTGATTCAATTCAATTCACTTCAATTCAAAAATACTTTATTAATCCCAGAGGGAAATTGATTGCTGTAGCAGCTCATAATAATAATAATAATCAAGTCATCAAAGAGTTATTGTATGGCTGTTGGCAGGAAGGATCTCCAGTAGCGGTCAGTGTTGCAGCCAAACTGAAGAAGCCTCTGACTGAAGACACTCTTCTGTTGTCGGACAGTCTTGTGAAGAGAATGCTCAGGGTTGTCCATCATTTTCTTGATTCTCTGGAGAATCCTTCTTTGCATTATTTCCTCCAGCGGTTGCAAAACTGCCGAAACTCTGGCTGAGTCCTTGAAAGGGCTTGGAGTTCCTCCATCTTGTTGGCCAGTGATCTCACATTGCCCATTATGATCGATGGAAGAGATGGTTTGAATTTCCTCTTTCTCTGTCTCCGTTTTGCTCCCGCTCTGCATCCACGCTTCTTGCGTTTTAGCTCATTTGGGATTTGTGGCGTCAGTTGAGGTATTATTTCAGCCTTTCCAATGCTAATCAGCTGCTCCCGATTGTAAACCATTTGTTGCCATGGTTACGCATCATAACAAATGCTCAAAAAGTGAAAAAAGCTAAAAAAAATAGCAGTAAAAATCCTCCAAGCTTCACAGCACCAGAAACGGAAAAGTAAAGTGTCCAAAAAATACAGTTTTTCTTGAGAAACTAGAAGAAAAAATGCCCAAGAAAAGGCAAAACTTACATATAGTCAACAGAGCTACTCCAACATGCAGCCACCCAGAGCAGCGCAGTTCCGGGAAGGCTACAGTGTTAGCTAAAACTTGTCAGCTTAAAAGGTAAAAACAAATATTTACTATGCTGTTCAGAAAAGAACCAACCAAGCAATTGAATTTGACAGATTACACAGAACGAATGTACAAAAGCTGTTCATTAAATATCAGTTGTTTATGAGACTTTTCTTTCTCTCCACAGCTATTGTTCAGTGAATCTTTCCCTGCCAGTGCCTTCAACCGTGCCACGCGTGTTGGCCCTCCTGTCCCTATTGTGATAGAGAAGCTGCTTACACGATCAGAGGTGCACGAGAGTGTGGACAGCTCCAAACGCTCCATTAGCTTTACGGCCCTCTCTGAGGAAAGGCTTCTGGCTGCAGTAAAGCTGGCCAAGAGGGATCTAAGGCGAAGGCATCTTGAAGGACTTAAAAAACTCCCTGCAAAACCTTTGCAAGAGTCCACCCTCTCAGAAACAAGTGATGTGGAGCTGCTTCAGGTACTGACTGTACAATATTTTATTAATATATTAGAAAAAAGACTATCTTCTCTAAAAGTATTGTTGTTAATTTTTCTGCTTAAAGCTGTTTACATAGAGAATGAAATGCTTTCTTTCTGCACAGGAGCTAGGAGCCACCTCAAGCAAGACAGAGGCAAAGATCTCTAGTCCAAAAGAGAGAATAGCTCAAACTGGTGTCAAACAGCACATTTTTAAGAAAAATGTCATTTCTTCGATGCCTCATGGTGGCCAGATTCCTCCAACCAGAGACCCTGGCTTAAAGCAGGTGGCAATAGATAAACAAGCACCTTTAAGCAATGAGATAAACAAACTGCAAAATGAACTGGAACGGTACATTCAGAAGGTGGAGGAGTTGGCTAAAAGAGGTAAAGTCTGAAAAAACGATTTACTATTTAGTTATGCATCAAATCTTAAAACATGGTTTCTTTAGGAATTTCTCTGGTATTGGTGATTTGAACAGAACCAAAATTGTAAAAATTACAGTAAGGAAATGTGCCACATTTGCACCGTTTTCATCTAAAGGTACTGATAATGTTTTTTCTAACCAGGAGGGAAAATGGAGGAGCCATTGGAACCAGAAGAGCAAAACAAATTAGAGATACGGAGACAGAAGCAGGCAGCCCACTCGGCACGAGTCATTTATGTTCTTCAACAGCAGGTTCTTACACCGATCTGATTTGACTCGTTGATTAACTTTTACCTTTCGGATGCATCAATAAATGCTAATAATTTTAGGTTAAAGAGATACAAGAAGATGTTGAAAAACTACGATGCGAGAAGACGTGGAACACCAAAAGGGTTTGTATTCAGAAGAGTTCAGTTAGAAAATAGTACATTTATCCACTTTTACCTTTGCCCCTTTAAAATTATTCTTTTATCAGTTATGTAAACAAGTAGACCAGGGTCTCCAAGTTTTCATATAGTTTTCGTTGCATTAATTAGACTTTGTTGTTTAGTGAACAACTTATAGAATTCTCTCTTCTTGTTTCAGTCCATTGCAATAAACAGACTTGCAGCTGCCCACCGCGGGACTCTCAGGGCCTTACAGGTTATCATCCACCAGCTCTCAGATCTGTCTTATAACAAAGTGCCTCCGTACTATAAAGAACTGGGCCAGCTGATTCGTCAGCTCTCTTTGTGCTCCGCTAAGGTTGAGGTGAACCAGGGTTCAGCTGTACCTGAGACGGCCCTAGACATCCTGCAGAAAGTGGAGGTGAGGAGCACCAACATGTACTCCTTTATTGTGAAATTGTGGTTTTATTGTGCACACTAAGGGTGTGTCTTGGCAAGAATCTGGCAATGTGATGCATATCACAACACAGTACATTGCAATACATATCGCAATACGTTACGACGCTAAAAGCTGAATGAGTTTCAGTTTTTAAGGCTGAGTTTAACAGAAAAATTCAGGCCAGACACTTCTGAAACACATCCAGTGTCGTCGTAAGATCTCATTCTGTTTGAGTGGAGGCAGTAAAAAGTAATAATGTAAATTTGTATAGCACTTTTCTCAGAAAGAATCACAAAGTGCTTCACAATAACAAAGTGATAAAACAGCAACCATACAGGTACCATAGAGAATGGCTACCATAACATCAATATAGACACAAACCTAAAAGGCATAGAAGCATAAAACAAAGCTTCACAAAATAAAAAAATCAATACAAAAATGTATAAAAAACCAGAATAAACTGCTGCCGCCTAGCAGACGGAGTTTGATTTGCACCACAACACCAAAATCAAAGTAAATGTTTGCTACATTTTCAATAAAACAATTGGTCCACTGCTTTTAAATATCGATTCAGTGTTATAACGTGACAAAGTGCAATATTTCCGTGAACTGATATTTTCTTACATTCCTAGTGCACACACTGTTCCAGAGCTGTTGGTGGTGTTAATACTGAGTGCTTCACTACTATAAAATAAAATTAAATTCTTATATTGGGTGGATGTTAATTTAAGAGTTTTATTTAAAAAAATAAAACAATCCAAGATATTATATAATCACTTTTTTTTCTCAGTTGAAGTGAGAAAGTAATATCAAAATATGAAGCCAAAGAAGAAAAAAATTAAAATGAATAGTTAGTAGGACTTTTCCTTTTCCTTTAAAATTTTTTTTATTATTACTATTTTTTTTTATCAATTTAAAATTGGATTATGATGTGAAATATTTGGGAAATATATATTAATGACTTGACGTGTCATTTTAATGTTCTTTGTTAAAAATAAATCACCCAGAAAAATGGCTTTATAACCATCCAAAAATGATGTAAAATATGCTATTTAATTCACTTCATAACATCTTTTCTTGTATTTTTATTTGATGTATGATTTTGCTGGTTTTCATCTGTCTTTATGTTTTGTTGAACCAGCATCAAGCCAAAGTTTTGGCACCATCGCCCCCATTTTTCTCTCTCCAAAACACATAACCTTTTATTATCCCTTCTACAGTTTCTAAATACCTCTCTCTTCTTATATGAACATTCAGGAACATTATTGCCCAGGCTCATACCTGAGCTCTATGAAAACAGTGCATCAGAAATCATCAGACAATCATAATGTCCACTTTTAGAAGGGATTTCACGTTATTTTTGGTCATAAAAAGGTGCTGACGAATAAGATAACTTTTATTTTCAAGAAAACCTTTTATATGTACGTTTCTCTCCCAAAATGCGTAAAATCACGTAAATTGAGATTTTACACAGCTATAATCTGAAGCTGATTTACAGAATTACCCGTGCTTATTTTGCATCACATTAAGTAAATACACCGTCTAAATGTTTTTCCTAAAATAGCTATTTGTATTAGAATTATTTTATTGCACTTGCACCTGATTTTCAAACTAAATAGTTGAGTTTTGTATTAATAATCTTGTAGCAAGACTTACACACCCATCCTTTCCTCTTAGATTTTGGATTCTGCTCTCAGTAAACAAGAGATGTTTGAAAAGGTGCAGGCCCAGACCTGTCCTCAACGCAGCACGTCTCCTACCAGACCCACATATCCCAGAAGAGGAGTTTGTGGTAAACCCAGTCCTACTTTTGTTGTGTTTTCAGTGTATTTAAAGGCTTGGACACATATCTTTATTGTGGTTGTGTGATAAAATATCCTCTAATGTAGTTCATCTAGTGACAGCATTTGTTTTTATATTAAACAAAAGACAATTGTAATATATTTTAAAATGCCATGCATCCGGTGACTGTTAAGATGCTGCTCTGCAAGCTGCACAGACGTAACAAATATGTAATATGTGTATTTGCAAATCACCTGAGTCCAATTGCGTGGTTAATATGCATGGCCTCCTGCCAGGACTAAGTGGATCCACACGGATAGAAAATTGATCAGGAGGCATAAAAATGATAGAGAAACAGAAAGTGAAGTGCAGAGCTCCAACTGTCACCCCCTCCTGCTTTGTCTTATGAGCAGCTACCTTCAGCTGACTTTCACCGAGCTGAGAGTCATCCTCTGCAGGAAGTGACATCTACAATAAGAGTTATCTGCGTCTGGATTTACAAACTAGCATTCCTGGTTGTTTGGCACTCTTTTGTGTTTACCGGTTTGCCCCTTTTTTAATATTTAAAAAAATATATATTTAATTTTTTTGTGTCAGTTGGAAGAAGACTAACTCGACGAAAACCTAAAAGTGCTTCTCATCAGCCCACGAAGAGGAGGGAGGCGCTGAGGGTCGGCCTGCAGAGCATCATCCAGCAGAGGGCGCTGAAAGAGCAGCCGAGACCATCTCAGAAAAACACAACCTGCAGGAAACAACACGCTGAGAGGAGAAAGACTGACGTGATTGGGGTGATTATTTAGAGCCAATTATGAATAATATAAGAGCTTCACATCAAATCAAAGCAGTGGAGTTTTGTTTCTGCTGAATATGCAGTCAAAAGGTGACAAGCCAATCTTTTTTTTAATATAAATACAAATGTTAAATGTGTTTCAGCCTAATCAGAAGCAGAATGCAGGTTTCCAGCTGCCTACAGTTTCGTCTCGGCTTCGAGTGAACCAGCAACCTGTAAAAGAGCAATCTGTTCCCTGGATACCAACATCTCCTCATTCCCGTCCTCAGCAACGGTGAGTCGGCTAGACGTCTGTGGGTGAAAAAGTCAGATTCTTTCTCTGTGCTTAGTTGATTATTAATAATAGTAGATAATCAGTGTTTGGGAAATGTGATTTTAAAGTGACACCTAGGTTTCCGGCTTCTCCCCCTACTGGTTGAAAACAGAATACAACTGTCATAAAACACCCTGCTGCAGCCTGCTGTTGCTCACACCTGTTTTGCTAATAACGCTAACAAGCTAACACTAATATGAGCCAACTGATACTAATACCACTAATACCACCATACTTCAGAAGCAACAAAGCCAAGTCACCATCAATCCATGATTTCTTAGCCTCCTTCAGCTCCCTCAAACCAGTGTAGGCCACACTGATGTTCAGGTTTTAGCTATTTGCTTTACGTACAATGACATTACTGTCTTCCTTTTACTTCCAGGCTTCACCGTGATAGACAAAAAAAGCAAACTTTTCGTCTTCATCTTCTTGTCCTTTTTATGGTCCGCTAGCTAACTGGTGGCCTTTATTTGATTTACCGGCACAGCTGTTGGCATAAAGCAGGTAGAGACCTCCCGATAGTGTTCCTACCTGAACCATCAAAGTTGTTTAGTGCAGTTTCTGCTCAGCAGAGAGCTGCGGAGCGTTGTCCCATGGGAAGCTGTTCAAGTTTCTGCCTCAAGCTCTACTAAAACCAGCATGAAGGCAATAAATTTAAATCTTAAAAACTCTTTAGTGTTGCTTTAATAGGATTTTCAATATGTTTAGGCTAAAGCTTTCCTTTAAATTATAGTACATGTTCCATATAAAGTGAAAACTGGAAGTTAATTTTATGTGGTAGCGTATCATGATTGCCGTTTTGCCCTTCGCCATCTTAAACATCATTTGGATCGACCAAACCAGTCACTGTGTGCATTTTGTGTGTGCATGTAAATATTGAACAAATTTACTTAATTTAACTGTCTCAGATGTGTGGTTATGGGGGAAGAAATAAACGAACACGGTTGCTGAATTTGTTCTGTCCAATCAGCATACATTGCCAGACAGGCATATGCTTATTACAGCGTATGCCTGTCTGAGACACCAAGCTTCTTTTACAGTTACCAACCACTCAATATTACAGTGAGATGTTTGTGTGAAGTGAATAATGAGTCACTCGTCACGTTTTACTTGAGTTGTTTGGAACTATAACAGCAAGCTAACCGGTAAACAACACTTCCTATAATGCAAGAGGCTTACTACCATAATAAGTGTTTGAAGTGCTCCCTACCGTAAAACACCCGAGTGCTAACACCAGATATGACGATGAATTTTAACCTTCCACAGTAGGTTGACTCATCTTTGCTTGTCATCTAGAATCTTCTGTTGCTGATCTGGCAACAGTTGCGTGATCTAAAAATCACTCACAAATATTTCAAAGTGATTAGGAACTGTCATGTATTTGCCAATAACATGATGTCTCATCACGGATGTCTTATTCTTTAGATTTTGTTGCTGTACTTTTATCAAAAACGGACATAACTAAAGACGATTCTTCATCTGTGCTCGTGTTTTTAACACGTTTCCTGTTTTCTCAGTAAACCTGTTCGGAGGGGGAGACCAGAGCCACGTTGTCCCTTCCCTCCTGTGAAAATTTCCTCGAGTCCAACCAAGCAGCAGCAGGAAGAGGACGGAGTAGAAACTGAGTTTTTGCTGAGCTCCGCAAAGAAGAAAGACTCTCAGAATGAAGCAATAAGGTGAGATCTATTTTCTATCATCTCCTGTGAATTTAGTCTAATCTTATCAACATATTTAAAGTTCCAGAGTTAAATATGACCCTTTTCCACATCAGTCATTAGGTCATTTTGGTTATTTCAGCTTTGCTTATGAAACGATCTGACCTTCCTAAAGAGAAACTCACGGAGCGGACGAAATCGAGGAACAAATGAATTTTAATGAGTCCTTTCGCTGCATTCACTGAGTAATTTCTAACCTTCGTGTCAGACCCCACTTAGTGAAAGCCACGGGCAACACTCTGATTTTAATTCAAAGTTAATTCTTTCCAATAAATTAATCTGGATGCACGCTAGATCGAGGCCGTTTCTCTATTTGAGTGATTAATTGTCGGCCTGGTTTTGGTACTTATAAGCATCTCATTGATTGAGTGTTGCACATATGCCCCCGTTTAATCAAATCGTAATTACTGCTGTGGTGCTTTCCTATTAATCAGTAGCTTACTGGCTGGTTTTAGGAGCAAGGATTATAAGATATTCATGTGAAAGTCTTAATCAAGCTTGTGTTTTGCTTTGTGTAAAAAATGAATTTTGCATTGGGTGCAGGAAAGCCCATCTTGAAGAGGTGAATCGGCAGAAGCTGAAAGAGCTCAACCATCTCAGCAAAGAAGAGCCTGAACGCACTCAGAGATCAAGGTAACCAACTGAGCTAGCCTTCTAATCAGATACTTTTTTTACCCTTACTTGAGTAATAAACCCTGTATATCAGGAAAATATTGTCCTCGGTTTGTGTTCCAGTGAGCTTTGCAGATTTGGGAAAATGTCATCAGGCAGTAATCATTGTTAAATTCATAATTATTCTCGGAGAGAGACCAACTCTTATCTGCCCCTGGGAGCCCCGTAATGCATAGCGTCATTTCAACATGGGGGTGTCCGCGACACGGTTTATATGCAGGTAGCGGTGCTGCGGCTGCTTTATATAGCGACTCGTTGCATTCTCCCTCAACCCAAATCATCGGATCACGCATTTTAGCTAAAACGCTAACGTTAGCTTGCCTTGCATTGACTGTAGAGTTGTGGGTGATGGTCACGCAGATGTGTCATGAGATTGAAGCGTTACTGCCTTTCACAGACACTTTTTCTGCACGTGCTGCAAACAGGATAACCGTCTTCTATCAACTGTCCCTCTGCATTCTTCTAATATCCAAAAAATGCCCGTACTTCCCACTTTGTCTTGTTTGAGGGATAATGAATGTCCTGAGCGCTCCCGTCTCCTCCTTTGGCCATTATTTCAGCTTTAGCTTCAAGAAAGTTTTGGTTGTAAACAGCAAAGCGTGCATGTGCCGCCGGCAACTTCAGCAGATGATACGGTGGCTGGTAAGGGTCACCGCGCCTACACCGCAGCCACGTAATCCACCGAGATAATATAGTTTTTGAAAAACAAGACGGTTATTATTGTTGTCAAATTTTTCACTGGGGTTTACCGCTACACCGGTTACCGTAACAACCCTAGAGCAGACATTGGGGGATAACGGATGACGCGTAGTTGAAGGGTGGAAAGGCTTGGAACTTGGCCGTAGACTTTGTTTACAATCTGTCCCCCTCCATACTTCCTGGTTCCAGAGCATATTAAAGCCAACGTGGCTGCTAGGTTATGCTGCATGGACCGCAGTGTTTCCCCTAGGAATTTTTCCAGCTGTGGTGGTGGTGGGTGGGTGGGTGGGGGTGGGGGGGTGGGGTGGGGGGGGATTATGACACGTCTCACCTTTATGTTAATATTGTTTTATTTGATGCACTCCACTTTGAACTGCACCAATCCAGCAACTGCTGCATTTTAATAACTACTTTTAAAGGTGAATACACCAATATTTGCACAAAAATCATTTTTGTTTTAAACTCTCAGTGGCACACTTTGCAGAGGGGTTTGGCATTTAATTTTTCTTGGCATCTGGAAAAACATCTTCTTTTGCCCCCCTTTATTTTGGTCCAAGATCATTACTGGGCTGACCCTATTAAACACATTCTACACCCCTGCTTAATAGACTTAATGAAGTATTTTTAAGCCAGTATAAAAATGACTGAAACACAAATTTACATATTTGGCATTATTGACCAATATCTTTGATTTAATTTATTTGTTAAGAACATCAAGATGCATTACAGTGAACATTATAATAAAGTAAAAATTTCTAGTGCAGAGAGGAGACAACCCAGAGAAGCACTGATTTGATCTCATTTCAGAGAAAAATAGAACGGATCAGATGCGCCTAATAAATAAAATTACTAACATAAACTCAGGAATCTGTTTCTTTGCTTCATTGTTCTGGTGCTGAAAATATCACTAATGCGGATCACAGGAGATACACAGATGAATGCTCCTCTTATTTATTGTTTGGAAATTAGTGGGTGTGGTTTACATCAATACATTATTTTAAATCTGAAATTGATATGGAATGATCAGAAGTTGCTATGTGTATTGTTTATTTGAAAACTATTTACCGAGCAGCCTCAGAATTGAGATTAGATATTTTTTTATCACAACTGAACAAGTTTTTCAGTAAAATCCAAACATTATTATTTAATTGCATGAATTAATGCATCTGAACTCATGCAGTAGGAACTAGGAAATATGAAATACTAGAACCATTTTATTTTAATTTGATTAAACTGATTTTTTCCTAACGTTGTTGGAATTTTTTCCACACACAGTTAAACAAAACAATGTTGATTGAGGTGTGTGAGAGAGAGAGAGAGGGAGAGAAAGTTGAAATAATAAAAAAAAAACCTGACCAGAGCGGAGGCAGTGACCGACGCATGCACGAGCCGTTTTCAGCTCTGTCTTGTCAAATGCACCACGTACGTTACGAAAAAAGTAACTTTATTCAACCAAAAAAGAGGCGAGCTGAAGAAAACCTAGGGAGCACTGAAGAAACGTAAGCAACAGTGAAGCAAGCACAGAGATCCGTTAGTGAGTGTGTGTGTGTGTGTGTGTGTGTGTGCGTGGATGGGCCGGACGGACTGAGCTCCCGGCTGCAGAGTTTTGTGTGTAGGGAGGGGCGGGCGCGCTATGTGACTGGCCAATCACAGAGCATGAAGACAGTCAGTTACCCAATGAGGATTTTCCTTCAGCACGATTACAGATATTTACGAGTTTCATGCTCGTATTTGTCAAAAATGCTTTATCCGTACCGGATACTCGTCTGAAATGAGTATCCGGCTCATCCCTAGCTGTAACCATCCTGCCCTGTCTCCTCCTCCTTGCTGCCTGCCGGCTGTGATCACAAGCAACAACAGAGTAGTTCCCGCTGCTTCTTCGGGAAACAGCGCAAAAAAAAAAAAAATCAATAAAACTTGGGATCTTGCAGGCGTGGCGCTGGGATTTCAGCCGTGGCGGGCCGCCACAACTATGCCTATGTAAGGGAAACAGTGGACTGCAGTACCTACATTTGTCCACAGGACACTTTTCTTACTTTATGCACCTTTAACCAGGAAATTTCATCAGTGTAAAAATATGAGCTTCATTGATTTCACTTTCCTCCTACAAAAACTGAATAATTTTTATTTCTTTGTAGTTTTTTTCTCTCCACTGCTGGAGATTTGCCATCCCTCAGAAATAGACAAGTGTGTTAATTAGGAGCTACTGAAGCCTGCAGCTCCGTACACGACGGCTTTCTGCAACTCTGATTAAAAGTGAACCATCATAACTCTGCTGCCATGTGTCTGTCACATCTGAGCATGAGCAGTTTCACTGTTTCACTTCATGACAATAAATTCACTTTATCATGTTTAAAAAGATCAAATAAGTAACGTCAGCTTCCATCTATTTAGATATGCATTAATTACATTTGCTTATTTTCTTCTCATCAAGCTCATAATTTATAAACTCATAAATAAAATCAGAAAAAATATGAAACGTGAGGCATACCTGATTGAAATAAGCTTTTTCTTTTCATCTATAACAACAACAATAATAACAAACAATAACAACAATAATAAATTAATAATTAATAAAAAAATGAAAATCAATTCTGTCATATGGATTTTTATCAAAGTATTTAAAATTATTCATTGCAGTTAAATGAAGTTTTTTTCAGTGACGGCTGGCGGCGTGGGCGTGTTTTGGTTAACAGGTTTGAAGTTGTCAGGCTGAATCCGTGGGCTGATGGAGCTGAGCAGAAGGCCAGAGAGACACTTTTTCATGAAAAACAGGTGGGAAGATTTATCCTTTTCACTGTTTATCTTTTTCAGCAGACCGTGGGCATGCTTAAATTCATTAAACAGAACAAGCATATTTTTAATTCCTCTATCTTCTCTTCATATAAAGCCAGAGTTGTTGAATTTTGTATTGATTTTGTGCTTCAGCAGGATGGTGAGACCCAGAAAAGTGTCGAAACCTCGCAGAGGATCCGGTTTTCTGAGCAGAAATCAGACAAGGTGGGCCCGCCTACGGGATATTTGAGTAGACTTTTACATTCGGTTGTATTTTTGCATCATGGTAAAGTTTTATCAACAGAAGCAGTGTTTTTATTTTTTATTTTTGTGCCCTGAAAAGGCGTCAGATGCTGCTGGGCAGCGGTGCAAGGTGCTGCTGGAGGACTTGTTGGAGGACGACGCTCACGCTGCGTGGGCGGCTGAGACAGACCGGCGGGTGGAGGGCACGTCCCAGTGTGGACGGCAAGCCCCCACCCTAGAGAGCATGCTGCTTCGTATGGAGGAGATACAGGTGAGAGCTGCCCTATGGAGGCCCACCAGTAAAAGGTCACGGTGGAACCTGAAAGGTCACCTGGCTTGTTATTTGCAGTGATCTGTTATGACAGCTCAGCTCTGCTGCTGCTTAATGAAGGAAGGTTTTAGACCTGGAAATGTGATGAAAACAACTTTTACAATATAGAAGAAGAGGGGAAAAATGTTGTTTTCCTAGTTGTCTGTTCTGTTTATTTATCTATGGATTGTGCAGGCGGTTGGATTACACTCCAAAAGAAAAGACGCAACAAGGAGAGCCGTGTGTTATTTCGTGCTGTTATATATTATTTTCAGTGTTATGTACGTAGCTACTGGCACTGAAAGAATGATCAGGTCTTATATAATCTCTTTGAGTCACTTTGTTGTGTTTATGGTTTTTCTGTGTCTGAATAGAGAGAGGAGGAGGAAGTGAGGAGACGTTTTGCCTCCATCACCTATTCAGACCCGCTCTTCTGGGAGCGGCCAGGAGCTGAAGGTAAATCCCCCATTAGTTCTAACTGGACAGGTGAGAAAATGATCACTCTGGTGCCTCCTGTTGATGAAGTCAGAGGTGCTGCAGACAAGGGGACTACTGAATATTCCTCTCCTCACTCCACCTGACTCTTTCTGCTTTACCTCTTCTTTTGTAACACACTACCATTTTCCTTTCTTCTCCTTTTCCCTATGTTCCTCTCAGGATCTCAGTGCCATGCTCCGGGCTCCAGGCCAGCTTCTCCTCAGCCAATTAGACTCACACGGCCGGTGCTGAAACAGACTTCAGTGGCTGATATAGTCCTGGAGAAGCCTGTGGACACTGGGTGGGTTGTCCTTTCTGTCTTCTCCAGTCACATTCTTTCTAGGCCTCAGGTTTTAGATCTTGACGTTCTAAGAAAATCCTCTTGAGCGCAGGACTGGCTCTGAAAGCATAGACCTCAGTCATTGTGGCTTTAGTACAATCTCCTGATTGCATATATTACATCATTTTAACAATTCCAATTATGAATCTGATTTAAAATTCTTATAAAGCCTGCAGTCTTTTTTTAATACATTCATTTTATAGTTAAAGAGCAAGTCAACCCCTACCAGAGTCTAACTCCACTTCATGTTTGAAAAATACAATAAATGCTGTTGCCTGGCAGACCGAGAAGGCGGAGCTGCTAACAAATACACACACAGGCTCACGACAGCATTGTGACATCATAATGTACCAGTTTACATCATAGCATACCTCTTAGCCAATAGCGGTGGCAGATTTAAATTAAAATACAGTGCAGAGTTTTTACCTGACAACGGCACAACACTGCCAGTTTTAGGCAGAATATGTAAATTTTAACTAAGATGCACTGAAGTCCAAATTATTGACTACACGTGTCTGCAGCATGATTAGACACTCGTTCATTTAGTTTGTCAGCAAAAAAAAGTTTATTTGGGGGTGACTTGCTCTTTAAAGACATCTTGTGCATTTCTACCTTCGTGTCGAGGAGCAGCAGCAGAAACTCATTTACCGCTGATATAATTGGACCTCCATAAAAAGGAAGTGGTTAATGTTTTTCTAGTGATGAACAGTGAAAGTGTATTTTTTCCCCACATCATGTGCCATTGCTCCACAATCCCTTCTCCAGTGGGAGGCCTCGCTCATCCCAGGAAACCCACTTGGTGGCTACCGAACCTGGGGCAGAGGCTATTCCTGTCTCTGGCAGACAGAAACATCCGCTGCTCAAGGCTTCAGTGTCTCGATGGTTTGAATTAATGGAGGCAAGAGAAAAGAGGATGAAAGGGCTAGAAGTTGTTGACACAGACAGGCCAATAGGAACGGCTAAATCAGACAAATCAGAGTCATGAATATTAACAAATTAAACCCTGAAGTGCTGCAGGTTTGGAAATGAGCTCTGAGATCCACCATGACTCATCTGTCACTCTTTTTAGTGCATTCATAAAGTAAAAGATGGAGCATAGCTCTCCTGCTTGGACGAGGAGGATTTTATGAATGTGATTTGTTTTCAGAGGTTTCTTGGTTTGCAGCCACTTCACAAGGACACTGCCAGCTCATTTGTTCAAATTGAATTCCTGCCTACATCCTCCTCCTGCATTAAGATGTGTTCAAAGGTAAAGACGACCCACTGGAATAGTCCATCTTGTCATGAAAAGCAGTGTAATTAGAGTCTTTACATCAGCTAACAAGAAAATACTTAAGTTTGAAGGAGTGAAGGAATTTTTATTTTTTATTTGTTTCTTTTTGTGTTTTATTTTTTAGTAAAATCACAAAACTAGAGTCCTGTTTGGAGCTATTTTCAAATATAAAATTCATTCTCTTGTGAGGCAAAAAAAGGAAAAACAAGTCAGATTTTCCTGTTGGAAAATGAAACACCAGGCCAAACATTTAACCCGTAAGCACCTGTATCATTCTATTTTACACCTTCCATAACAAAGATAGGCATAATATATGGTGAAACTTTACCATTGGCACTATTAAGATGTATTTTTTGATGACGTATAAATGGTTTTTGTGAGCTAATCCTTCAACTTGGAAGTAAGACACTTAGATTCAATGAATTCCCATCTCTTCCTGATACAATAATATACAGCTGCAGACCCGGAGACGGCAGATTCATGCTTGCTGCAGATTCAAGCTGACAGTCCTGAGTTTTCCTCCTTTCAGGAATTATGTAGGATTTTGTCTGTAAAAGTGATCATCTTTCTCTGCACTGTGATATAGTGTGGGAAATTCAGTTCAATTCAAAACTACTTTATTAATCCCAGAGGGAAATTGATTATATGTTAAATATGTCCTTCAGAGCCCTATTCCATTTGAGTTTTGTACCATTCAGCATTAATCAATGGGAATGCCATCTGTGCCTTACTAACATTATTTTTGATTAAAAAAAATTGCATGGGCGCTAATTGTCTTGAATGAATTAAAAGTGATTAATGAAGATTAATTAATTACAATGTCTCCAATTTGTTAGATTACATTTTTTAATCGAGCCCCACACCTAACACACACACACACACACACACACACACACACACACACACACACACACACACACACACACACACATATATATTTATATATATAAACACATTATTATACGAATACAGGAGCAACGACTGTTGTTCTCAGCTCTAAACAGCATGGTTATACAACCCCCCAAGGCACTCCACAACACAATCCCATTCACATGCTGGTGGGGATGAGCTACTATGTAGCTACAGCTGCCCTAGGGCGCATGGACAGAGGTGAGGCCTGCTTTACACTGATGCCACCAGTCCTTCTGACTACCAGCAGGTGAGGTGGGTTAAGTGTCTTGCCCAAGGACATAACAGCAGCATTCTCTGGTGGGAGCCGGGATTGAACCTGCAACCTTCTGATTACTGGACAACCAGCTCTACCTCCTGAGCTACTGCTGCCCATGTACAATCTCAACAACATGTACAATCTCCCAAAATTCTACCGTGCGGGAATTGTTTGGGACAGGAAGTAGAAAATACCAACTGCTTTACATTTAGGATTAAAGCTTTTGCAGTCAGAGTAATTGGTTGACTGAAACTGATGTGTGTCCTTGATAATTTTGTGTCCTGTAGACTTGTCACTAAATATTTGTCTTCATGAAGAAACAAATAAGGAACAGAGTTTTGCTGTGAGTAATGTTTGAGTAAATCATCCGCAGGATTGTTCAACGGAACTGTTCAGCGCCTGAGGTCACAAGAATCTAAGTTCTTCATTGATTGCAGCTGAATGTTTTATCTTTTTTGTGTTTGCGCTGAGAATTTGTGAAGTCCTCATATGTGCATATAATCCAAATATCTGCCAGAAGCAAGATAATTAATACTTTTGAGGCTGAACAGAAACGAGGAGCCCTGATAAGACAGAATAGTGAATTTAGATGACCTTGATATAAACTGTCTTTCCTGTTTCTTAGAAGAGCTCTTGTCCCATTTCCTATCCTAGAAAGTGTGTAGTCTGTATTGATGCTGGAATGTCCTAATCCTCTGTCACTGTTGACTCTTTTAGTTTTAGGTGCAGCAGAATAGAAAAGTTTAATGTGGGAGATTCAGTGCAGGCTTGTTTGTTGCCTCAGCCTCGATTTGTTGTTTATAACCCACATTTTTTAGCCCAGAGAGGCTCATTTATCTCAGATGGTAGCAGAGAAGCTGGAGTCATGTGATTTTGTGCTCCATGCACACATCTGAATGCGGTGCTGGAAAATGTTTTAGTTAGTGTGCCTATAACTGGAGGCGTGTGGGATTGTTTGATGACTAAGACACTGCAAGTCTGGTGTTCATTATAACTTTCCTGATATATTTTTTTATTTATTGTTTTGTGCTGCAGACACAAAGCCAGGGAAGGTGAATTGTAAAATAACTTAAACAAATGCAGCTGAGAACAGGTATTGTTATTTTAGTGCTTTGATGTGATCACCACCAGTTACAGTCAGAAAATAAAATGTTGAATTTACTCAACATGGTCTTGAGTTGAAAAAGGGTAGAATACCTTCTGCGTGTCGGGGATGAGATCATGCCCCCAGTGGATTGAATTTAACTATCTCTGGGTCTCGTTCACGAGTGCGAGTGAGAAGCTCGGTCATCCGGGAGGGGCTCGGGGCTCAGAGTAGACGCACTGCTCCTCCACATCGAGAGGAGCCAGTTGAGGTTGCTTGGGCATCTGATTAGAATGCCTCCTAGACGCCTCCCTGGTGAGGTTTTCTGGGCACGTCCATCTGGGACAAGACCTAAAGGAAGACCCAGGACACGCTGGAGAGACTATATCTCTCGGCTGACCAGGGAACGTCCTGGGATTTCCCCGGAGGAGCTGGCCCAAGTGGCTGTGGAGAGGAAAGTCTGGGCCTCTCTGCTTAGGCTACTGCTCCCGTGACCCGACCCCAGGGAAGTGGACAATAATGGATGGATAGTATAATGTACATGGTTAAATGTTGTGTTAAAAGTAATTGTATATTCCCCTTTACCTTTAAGCAACTAGGCTAAGTAGAAGCAGTTGATGTAAGTTAGTTAAATTAATTCAGCATGTCATTTCTTCGAGTGGTCTGGTTCTCACTCCCATTGACTGCCACCAGACCGAACATCGTCTTTGTCCTTTTTCCAAAATACCACCTATGAATCTTGTGATGATGCGTTTGAGCAGCCACGGACACAACGGAGTGTGAGATATTTATCTTTTAACTCACCGGCAGAGCAGAAAATGAGACTTTCTGTACGTATCCATGGTGAGAAGCTCCGATTCCAACCTGGATAATTTTGACTGACTCACTGCAGCTCCATCAACAGGCCAAAGTAATCGATAAAGAAAGATGAAAGCCTCACTCAGAAATATTGTAAACCTTTCATCTGCCTTTCCTCTCAGACCAAGTATTCCATTACTTAGTAAATAGTGGGTTTGCTGTTCTGTCATTTTCATCCTGATTCACTTTGAAGCCGGCGTAACAAAATATAATGAGTTTTTTTATGATTCCCCGCCAAGCTTTAGCATCAGTTCCTCACTAAGATTGTTTTATTTTTCTTCTCCTGTCAGTGAGGTTTATGCGAGTCGAATCATCATTTTCTGTGTTTGTCCAACTGTGTCCAGCTTGTGTTCCATTTGATAAATCGCATATGGCAGCTTTCCTTGCCAGGTCGTTTGTGTGCCAGGCGACACATGGCTGCAGCATTTGCTGAGAAACAGGCAAACGAACTTATTATGATTGAATTTAGTTTTTGTCAGTGGTATGGTTTGGGCATTTGTGCATCCTTTGCAGGTCAGCTGATCGTTGGATAGACTGAAACATTTATATATATTTTTTCTTGTATGACTCAGTTATTTAATCTGAATTTGTATTAGTCACATAGACAGTCATACACTATTAAAGGTGTAATATGGAACAAAGTGACACTTGGAAGTTTTGCTTGCTTATAGCACCCCCTAGTGTCTGTTATTAATTCTCTGTGGTCAAACCAAAATGTATCTCCTCGCTGTGCGTTTGTTTTTTTTGACACATTAATCTAACAGCTGAGACGTCTCCCAGCCTTCCTGAGTGTCTACAGAAGTTATTCATCACTAAATTAAACAAATTACCTGTGTTCATGGTCTAAACATGCTGGAACCAGGCTACTGCGCCAGGTATGTCAGCTCAATTTTATTCAAAGTCCCAACAGATCGGCCTGCCAGTCTGAAGTTGCAAATGCGGTATTCTGGCCACAGAGGGTGGTGGGATCTGAGCGACATTTCATTAACCATGTAAAAGGTAATTTTAGCAAATACCGGCTCAAAAAAATTTTGTTAAAATATGAAAAAGTTGTAAGGTATGGCTTTAAAACAGAAATCTGTTTTACCACCTATAGGTGGAAGCATGTATTGCACCTTTAATCCCCTCTCCCTTCTTCTATGATACAGCTGAAAGCAACGCCTGTGGCACATGTTAAATTCTTGGCCTGTCTTTGAGGTGCTTTTTGGTCAAGTTTGATATTTCTTTCCTCCTGTCTGTCTTCGAGTAGATGCAGGCAGTCATACAATTAGTACTTTTGTTGCCATGAAGGCAGTTGTAGCCAATAATTTGCTGTATCTTTGCAGCTTTGTAAACATCGTGAACGCAGCTCAGATTAGGTGATTCTGCAAACGCACATGCATCCGCTCTGTGACTGACATCTGTATGTAAGTGGATGTTAAACACACTGGCTAATGCTGAGCGGCAGTCAAATTAAATTGTATGGGAGGAGGCAGTGAGGGGGGTGGAAATTAGTAAATAAACGTATTGCCTACGCTATATCACAGAAAGGTGTCGGACTGTCACTTTTACAGATTTCTAAAAAAATATCACACAACACATTTAAAATGTCTGCAAGCAATTTTAAAAAGTCCTTATTAAAAAACAAAAACACATCCTTTCTGTCTGTGTTCAGTTTTTCCTGTTTGGCCCTCTAGTCGGGTTTCTAAATTTGTCCTCAGACATCTGAACTTTGAGCCTACCTGAAATGAAATAAATATTTAAGAATATTGTTCCATAAGTTAAAATCAATTTATTCCGATTGCGCATTCCGAACAAAAGTCAGATTTTGCAGCAGAGTGCATGAACGGTGACAGGTTGTGTTTATTTTTGACCGTGCCACAAAAAAGCCACAGAATACCCTGTTGTTGCCTTTCTACATCGGTCCTCTGATGCCTGTCTGCCTGTAAATCGACCCACTTCTGAGTGGAAAGCTGAATTGTTGACTGTGCTGGCACTTTGGTATTTATGGCCTCTACACGTTTTTGTTGGCCCCGTGATCATAACTGAAACAAGTTCAGTGGAAGCCCCGAGAGCACAACAGTAAGCAGTCCTTTGCTTGTGAGGCCACAACAAGACTAAATATAGTTCGGCATAGTGCTGCTGTAGGAGCCTGGCTGATTTGTCTGAATAGAGAGCCATGTCCAGCTGACCCCCTGCTCAAAGTGCAGGTGAGAGACTCGTATCATGTGGGGACCCAGCAGGAATTTATCACAGCTCTGCAAAGGCAGTAAAGATCTTTAGAAACAATCTTCAGCAACACTCTACTCTGTAGTATGAGAGGAGACAATAATAAAATGGTATTCATTGACCTTTTCACCTTATGGAGGTCCTTTGTGTTTCCAGTTTCCTGTTGGAGAATGCCCCGATGGAGGAGGCATCCCAGGAGGAGCAGCCACCAACAAATAAAACCGTGTCCCCAGGCACAGCAGATAGGAGCAGAACCGTTATCTCGGTGTCAGGGTGCACGCTGAGGAACATCCGCCGTTACCAGGACGACTATGACACCTATCTGCGTGATGTGGCTCACAATGTCGTCGGCACCTTCAACCCCTGGGCCGTCGTAGACAGGTGAAAAGATAAACAATGATTAAAAACAGAGCTTATAAAGAACCATAATAATGATGCAGCATTTGCTGAGTCATGCCAGAGCCACCACCCCCCTTCGTGTCTCCATCCTTTGCTTTTTGCAGCTCTTGATGTTTGATTTCTTTCATACACTAAATGAACCATAAACCGCACATGTTTTTAGTTTTTGTGTTGGACTCTGATGGTGTCCAGACAACACATGGTAGCATGTGTCCTCTTGAGATGTTTTAGACATAGCTGGACGTGCTTTCTCTAAGGGTATTTGCAGACTTTATGGTTTGCAAAGCATCTTTTTAATGCTCCCTCATCCACACACCGCTTAGCCTATTTAACAGATTGCTTTTGTTGCAGACTGCCTCACCTCAGTGAGCATTCAAAATCCACGAGATTCAGATAAGGTTTGAGCTCCAAACTCGCAGGGATTTATTTTCTCCGCATCATTGTCAAAAATCTATTTGATTTTCAAAAGCAAAGCTCGAAATGACAATCCTGTGCCTCCATGGCACCGGAGTCCTTGTTTAACTTGTTCATTATTAATCCCATGTCAGAGAATCAAAGCTGCCTCAGGATGGATTTCCGATTTTGGTAAGAAAATGGAATAAAGTGAGAGAATATCCAATTATTTCAGTCTTTTTAGAGGCAGAAAGCAGGCACGTTTGCTTGCGCCGCCTCCCCACCCCCCCCTTTCTGCAAGTCTGACAGGGTGCAGAATCCTTCCTGAGTGATGAGATGGTAATGAGTAGCCGTGCGCTGGTGTGGAGCCACACCACCTGGAGGATCCCATTAAATCTGTCTGCTAACAGGCTGATTGCAACATAGAGTCTTGAGCACCCCACATAAAGATACATCCTCGAAGCTGTGATTCTAACAGAGAGAACAACAAGAAACTTGTGTTTGAATGAACTAAGATGATTAAGCCTGTGCATTTGCTGTGCTAAAGTGGTAAATATGCTGAGTGGAGAGTTATTCAGAGGAGCTAGCATGGCTTAGGGAAAATTAACTGTGGTCTCATAATGGCGACTCTAATGCAGATCGACTGATTCTTCGTTGTGTTTCTCCCTAGCTGCTGTTGAAAATATTTTTTTAATCCTTTATTGGTGCAACGGTGCACCATTTCTGCAACATTTGAAAGATTGGATGGGTTAGTACTTAAGATAAGTACACAGGAATGTGTTGGAGCTACTAGTACTTACAAAGTCAAATGCACTTAAATACTTTAATTAAAGCCGTTTTTACTAAAACATTGCCGTCACATGTCCACAACGCTGAAGCGGCATCAGGGAGCCGTAGCTCGTTTCTAAGACAATTATTGCAATATTACTACCAAGCGAGGCGAAACGAATGCCGCAAACTCCGTGCATCGCTGTGCTGTAATATTACACTGATTTGCCGACAGGGTGTGTCTTGTAAAACGGGCGTAAGACAAAGCAGTAGAATGTTAGCAGAAATTTGAATACGCTTACGCTCAGAAATACAAGTTCAGTAAGCGAATTACCAAGTACTATGTACTGGTTTGTCTTAGCTGTAGTAACTTGCATTTAAGTGTATTTAACATTGTAGCTATCAGTAACTCCAACACACAATTATCTATTCCAGTGAACATATTATTTTAAGTGCAATCAGTTTGCATGCATTTTTCTAGTAAGTTGAGCAAATCAGATTTTACAGTGTAGAGCCTCCCTGCTTTGAATCAGAGGACGTCCACACATTGAAATGTAGCATGTTGCTACACAGATCTCATGCATTATGGATTTTATTCTTCGTTCTTAGCTTTTAAGACTAAACATTCATACGTTCACTCAACGTTCATTCTTTCTCCATGTCAGATTACATGATTTTTGGGAGCCTTTCCTAAAAGCTTTCCTTTTATTTGTACTAATTGTCTTGTTTTACAGCCTCGCAGATGAGTTACTGTTGGAGGCGTTGGCTGAAGTCGCCGACGAGTTTCAGGAAGTGGTTGAGGAATACGCCGAGGCTGTCTTCACCTCAGAGTTTCTGCAGCCGATCCAGTCTCCCCCTGTTTCTTCTGCAGCTTTGGTTGGCCAATAGGATGCTACAGCATCGTTAAATAAATGTGCTTTTATTCAGGTTTTTTTTAACCAGAACTGTTTATCATTTTGTATAGTTTTTGTATATTTTATGAATGTGACTTTTGGTTTGGGATAAATAAATTAGTTATTTTTATTTATTCTTTCCAACAATGTTTTTATCCAATGATTTTGCTGAGATTCCTTTTAAAGTAGATGTATCAGGTGATGTTGCTGAATTGCACAAGGAGCATTAGTCTCATCTCTCTTCATGGTCCATTTGTATGTGTGATTGAATCCCTCTGGGAAAGTTAGTTTAAGGTAGATAAGCTTGGGGAGACCGGAACGACATTACAGAGGATTATAAGATTACTGCCCTCTCATTGCACTTGGTTTAACACTCCCTGGGGATTACTCACACTTTCTATTTTCACATCAGAACTAAAATGCAAATGATTGCATACGGTCTTCATCAGGGTTTGATCCGCTGTAAACCATTTTGTTAATTAAATTGACTTTCTTATTAAATAACTCTGATGCTGCATGGTGTTCTTGTTTTTAATTGATAAAATTCTAGTGAAATGTTGATATTTGTGATCATAAAGCATGGTGATTTAAACTTGGCACCTTTAAATCAATATTTGGTCCTGTTTTGTTAAACCTTTTGGAACTGCATGATTATGGAGTTAGTGTTGACCTGAAAGTTAACAGGACATAGCACAGTTGAAAATTAAAGGTGGTGCAGACAGAACGGAGGACACATGCAGAGCCTGTGGAGACTAGCTGCGGCTGGAAAAATGTGCTCACACCAAATTAGATGCTTCTGCTTCCCCTCGGGCTGCTGGAGGCCAAACTACACACAGGTTTCAAAACTGACACAAAATTAAGGGGGCGTGTTATGCAAAATTCACCTTTTGCATGACTGTGCTGCCGTGTGGGTCGCTACTGTCTCTATAAACACTTCAAAATGTGAAAAACAACTCATCCATCCATTTTCTGTCAGTGCTTGGTTTGAGGAAGTATGTGCGTAAAACAAGCCGTTACAAAAGGTTCTTGTTTGTGATGTCACAAATGGGCAAAGTAGAATAAAACCACCTCGTAACATGCTCTTTCAGCAGCAGCTCTACTTGCAGCACTTCCCAATTATCGAAGCTTCGGAGCCAATAACAGCCTGAGCAGGGGATTGGTGGGCGTGGTCAGCTTCCGTTTGTTTTCTTACAGTGACAGAGTCCTGAAAGTCGAGAATAAAACTGCTGAGATCACTTTATGTGAGAGGGATTTAGCTTAAAGAACTTCATAAACATGTTTTTATATCAACCATAGAACTAAATTATCTTCATTTAATTAAGTGCCTTCTAGAGTTCTACCCCCAAGGTGCTTTACAACATCCAGTCATTCACCCATGCACACACACATTAACACACTGGTGGAGATGAGGTGGGCTAAGTGTCTTGTTCGTAGACACGACTGCAACAGACGGGCTCGAACCTGTAACCCTCTGGTTACGGGGCCTAACTCTTCTGTCACTGTCACAACTATTATAATTTTAGAAAAAAGTCATAAAATGTCCCCTCTAAAGCGAGGGAAATGTGGATGGATTTGCTTTCATATGAAGGACTAAAGTTGTTTTGACAAAATACTTAAAAGATGCTACATAACCAACTTCATTTCCAGTCATTTTGGTCAGAAATTAACAGAAAATCAGAGAATGCACCAGATTATGCAATTACACATTTTCCTCTCACAGGTGCGAGTGGACTTGACTCATTATGCGGGTATAAATGAATAGGATGAAGAAAAGAAATGAGGAAGCAGAAGGATTAAGATGACTTTGACAGAGGACACATTTTTAAAATAACAGCGTCTTAACTGCTGCCCTTGCTAGGTTTTTCTCATTTGCTGGGATGAAGAGCAACCAAAACTTGTCCAAATATAAAGTTTTTAATGATTCACATGAGCAGTTGGATCTAGGATCATTACTAAAGAAGTTGATGCTGATTTCTTATAGGAGGATGTCAGTAAACACACGAGCTGTGTCTCATTTCCTGCCAAAAACATCCAACGTGAGCAAGTTCGCATATAACCTGGCACCATAGAGGCAAGGGTGCACCCAAGGGGTGGCCAGAGGTGGTCATGGCCACCCCTAGAAAATTGCTGGCCCCCACAGGAAAAGCCAGTGTTAACAAATCATATTAATGTTCAGTCAAACCATATATTAATCTTGTTTATTCGAGACATCATTGTAAAACAAAATAAAAATATTACAATTAATGAGTAAAGAAATAATCAGAATAAAAAAAATACACATGTTTCTGCTGCTCAACGTTTAAAAAAACGCTTTTTTCTCCATAGTTTTTTTCTTTTTTTTTTGGTGAACACAGCAACACAGGTTATTAAACCTAAAAAATTAAATTTTAAATAAAATTTGGGGTAACATTTTAAATAACTGAAATGTATTTTTCAAAAATGTTTGCGTTTGTAAAATTTAAGTGAAATGTTTTGGATATGTACTGTTATTTTAATAAAAATGAATAAAGGTGCAATGCAGTACATCGCCACAGGCTAAATTCTCCCAGATTTACCACAAGGACCAATTTGGTGTGCCACCCCAAAATTGTCTTTGGCCCCATCTGGCCACCCCATCAACATTTTCTGGAGGCGCCCCTGCACAGAGGAAGGTGATCTGGTTGGACGAATTTCTCTTGTTATCTTCAGGTGAACATTTCTTACAAGCACTATGAGGAGAAGGGAAGCCGAGGAAACTGTGAGGATATAGATAATGTCAGTTTCATGTTCTTGACAACAATGAGTAAATATATGGCGCCTGTATTCCTTCAAGCCTGTGGCCTTTTTCCCTGAGACAATAAAAAAAGCTTAAAAAATGATCCAATAAACAAAATGACTAATAATGTCTTAAGATCATTTTTTCCAGATCCAGTCTAATCAAACGCTTCTATCCGCATCATCATTAGTTATTTTGAGTCACCTGAACTGAATCGAACCAAAGCTCCTGACATCTGATGGTTCTACTGCAGAGCGAGCAGATGTTGCTGTGAAAAGACTAGAATTAATGCTATTTTGCACATTATTATAATTGCTAATGATCTGAGAGGTTAGACCTTGCCTCGGGCTATCGCCGACTCATTATCAGAGCTAATTTTCAAATTGGTCAAGACTCAAATGACTGCAGCATCCGTGATGCATCGAGGGGATGCTGCTCTGTGCAGGCGATGACAGGGTGTGCTTTTGACATTCGGGTTGTTTTTCTCCTCTTTTTTCATCTGAAGCTCGGTATTCATACCAGAAGGATGAGAAGTCCTTATTAGTCGTTCTTGCTGAGAAGCTGGTCATTGTTGAGCAGTCTGTCATGCATCCTAATTTTGTGCAAGAATGTTTTCTTTGTAAGATTATTCTAGGGTGCCAAACATTGCCGGCTGAAGGGACATTTGGTTCCAGTTTGCAGAGATCATTAATAAACAATATAGGAATGAACAACTTGTGAGTTTATTATTGTAGTTAATCAAACCAGGTTCCTGCAGAGTGGATGCAGGCAAACTATCTGCTTCGATTTTATTACTTTATAAGAGACAACTGATGGAAAAGAAGCTCACTTCTGCAGGATAAAGACTTTTTACCTCACTCATATTCAAGAATCACTGCTTTATGAACACTAATAACAATTCAGTGGCCATCAGATCATTTAAACCGTTTTCTACATCTTTGTAATAAGGGTCACAAGTGAAAGAGCCCTGAAGTCTTGAAGGCGCTCCGAATTTCAAAAGGGCAAATTTTGAAACACAACCTTTCTTTCTTTGAGGAAATAAAACATCAACATTGCAAAAGCAAACAAAGTCACGGGGTAGAGTTACATTGCTGTTATCCAATCAGAGGCAACGATGTCAAAATATCAGGAAATAAGACTACAAATCTTGCCGTCTTTTGCCACTTTCTCCTCCAGCTGACTTCTACATCCTCAAACAGGAGCATCTGAGCTTTTCCCATTTTCCTAGTTTTAAATTCCAGAACCGTTTAAAATTTTTCTAAAAACCCAAGCAATCACAATTTGTTTGATCTGTAAATGGACTAAAAAGAAAATGTAAAGGATTTTACTTGTAGTGTTATGGATCAGTATTACTGGGGTAAATTGCATTTTTCTGCCTACAAGGCAGCAGAATTCTTCAGAGAGGAAACAGCAAACTAAAATCTGCACCTGGGGCTCTAAGCTCATTCTGCTGACTTGAGTACTTTGTGGCTTTTTAATAGATCCTTAGTGCTGTTGAAGCAGATCCTACCTCCATTTTTCCAAAAGCACCTACAGCGCTTATAAACAGCATCATTTCCATGACTTTCTGTATGCTGATATCAACATTTGTCATATTTGACATATTTGCAGATACATTTCACCATCCAGCATCTGCAACTTGGAAAATTCTTTCTGCCTTCTGACTAAGAGGAAAGTCCCCTCTTTTGTGAGGAAAGGTGTTTGAGTTGTGTCCTCAAAGGCATGGATAGGGTAAAAAATTAAGTCCCTTAATTAAATTAGCTGTAGTGTTTTTTTTTTTTCATTTAGACCCTGTCAGTGCAGCCATGCAGTGTAATCAGTGTGATCTGTCTCTCTGACTTCCTGGCCTCAAGGCCTTTTCAATTAGTTTTCCTTGCTGGGATCTCAGCTCAGTGTTGCTGCACAAGAAGATGGTTTTCCCTGGCTTCCGATAAAAGCAAATAGCATGTCAGAGTTTGGTAGTGTGTCGTGTCTGGCTCTCAGATTCCTCCATGTGGATGTTTTTTTCCTCACTGGACTGGGTGATCTCATTTGTGATCACATATACAGTGGTGTGAAAAACTATTTCCCCCCCTTTCCTGATTTCTTATTCTTTTGCATGTTTGTCACACAAAATGTTTCTGATCATCAAACACATTTAACCATTAGTCAAAGATAACACAAGTAAACACAAAATGTAGTTTTGAAATGACGGTTTTTATTATTTAGGGAGAGAACAAAATCCAAACCTACATTGCCCTGTGTGAAGAAGAAGAAGAAGAAAGTATAATTTCTATAGCGCCTCTCAAGATAAAAATCACGAGGCGCTTCACAAAAACAAAAAATGTAGAAATATAAAAAAGCATTTAGAAAATGTTTAAAACTATATTTAACATTAGCAAAAATAGGCATTTGTGATAAAAAAAATGTAAAGAAAGAAAGAGAGAGTGAATAGGAAAGAGGGAAATCAGTGGATCCTGAGGAAGGTGGAATAGGTGGGGAGAGCTGAATAAAGAGAGAGTGGTGAAGAAGGTCATACAAAAGCCAGCTTGAACAAGTGAGTCTTCAGCTGCTTTTTAAAGGAGACCACTGAGTCCACTGATCTCAGGCTCAGGGGGAGAGAGTTCCAGAGTCTGGGGGCCACAGCAGCAAATGATCTGTCACCTTTGGTCTTTAGCCTGGTGCTGCACAACCAGTAGGCTTTGATCACTGGACCTCAGGGACCTGCTGGGGGTGTAGGGACTAAGAAGAACACCAATGTAAGATGGTGCTTGTCCATGTAAGGCCCTATAGACCAGAACCAGGATCTTGAAATGAACCCTGAAGTTGACTGGCAGCCAGTGAAGCTGGAGGAGAAGCGGGGTGATGTGGGTGTGTTTGGAGGACTTGGTCAGAAGCCGAGCACAGGCGTTCTGAACCACCTGTAGACGGTTCAGGGAGGATCTGCTCAGACACGTGAAAAGAGAGTTTCAGTAGTCTAAGCGTGAGGAGATGAAGGTGTGGAGAACAGTCTCAAGTTCAGAGCGGGACAGAATGGGACTCAGCTTAGCAACGTTCCTGAGATGGAAGAAGGAAGAGCGAACAAGAGAACTGACATGAGAATCCAGGGTGAGAGCTGGGTCAAAGGTCATGCCAAGATTCCTGACAGAAGATTCCTGAAAAAGTTATTGCCCCCCCTTGTTTAAAAATAACCCAACTGGGGTGTTTCACACCTGAGTTCAATTTCTGTAGCCACCCCCAAGCCTGATTACCGCCACACCTGTTTCAATCAAGAAATCACTTAAATATGAGCTGCCTGACACAGAGAAGTAGACCAAAAGCACCTCAAAAGCTAGACATCATGCCAAGATCCAAAGAAACTTAAGAACAAATGAGAACAAAAGTAATTGAGATCTATCAGTCTGGTAAAGGTTATAAAGCCATTTCTGAAGCTTTGGGACTCCAGCGAACCACAGTGAGAGCCATTATCCACAAATGGCAACAACATAACAGCGGTGAACCTTCCCAGGAGTGGGCGGCCGACCAAAATTACCCCAAGAGCGCAGAGACAACTCATCCGAGAGGTCACAAAAGACCCCAGGACAACTTCTAAAGTGTTCACGACTCCACCATAAGAGAGAGACTGGGCAAAAATGGCCTGCATGGCAGATTTCCAAGACGCTAACCACTGTTAAGCAAAAAGAACATTAGGGCTCGTTTCAATTTTGCTAAGAAACATCTCAATGATTGCCAAGACTTCTGGGAAAATACCTTGTGGACTGATGAGACAAAAGTTGAACTTTTTGGAAGGCAAATGTCCCGTTACATCTGGCGTAGAAGTAACACAGCATTTCAGACAAAGAACATCATACCAACAGTAAAATATGGTGGTGGTAGTGTGATGGTCTGGGGTTGTTTTGCTGCTTCAGGAACTGGAAGGCTTGCTGTGATAGATGGAACCATGAATTCTACTGTCTACCAAAACATCCTGAAGGAGAATGTCCGGCCATCTGTTCGTCAACTAAAGCTGCAGCAATGACCCAAAACACACCAGCAAATCCACCTCTGAATGGCTGAAGAACAACAAAATGAAGACTTTGGAGTGGCCTAGTCAAAGTCCTGACCTGAATCCTATTGAGATGCTATGGCATGACCTTAAAAAGGCGGTTCATGCTAGATAACCCTCAAAGCTGAATTACAACAATTCTGCAAAGATGAGTGGGCCAAAATTCCTCCAGAGCGCTGTAAAAGACTCGTAGCAAGTTATCGCAAACACTTGATTGCAGTTATTGCTGCTAAGGGAGGCCCAACCAGCTATTAAGTTCAGGGGGTAATTACTTTTTCACACAGGGCAATGTAGGTTTGGATTTTGTTCTCTCCCTAAATAATAAAAACCGTCATTTCAAAACTACATTTTGTGTTTACTTGTGTTATCTTTGACTAATGGTTAAATGTGTTTGATCAGAAACATTTTGTGTGACAAACATGCAAAAGAATAAGAAATCAGGAAGGGGGCAAATAGTTCACACCACTGTAAGGAAGCAAGGCACAAAAACAGCAGGGGTTACCACAGCTGCTTCACACACAGTGGTGCGTGGAAAGCTATTTTCCAAATATTCAGTGTGTGAAGATTGAACATGTCAGATTAGGAGTTCCACGTGTGGATTTAGAGGTTTTAAAGTGGAGGGGGAAATGATTCAGGCTTTATTACATTACTACATTTTGATGGGGTTTGCTCTATTTTTGAGCGTCTTTTTAAATTTTTTTTCAAATATCCATTTTCTGTTTCTTTTGCTCGGGTGGCTGCCCCTGCACGACTGAGGTGTCACCTGCTGCTTTGGTGATGAATATTTGACAGATGCGATAACTCAAACGCCTTGGTCCTGATGCAGCGATTAGCTCCCTCACGTTATCCCATAAAAAGACACAAATCCACACCATGAGCAGCATAGGACATCATGATACAGAAGCTTTGAATTATTCTACATTTTTAAATATTTTAATTCCAAGAAGAAAATGTTGTCCTTTTTTGGACTTTTGATTTGTTTCCCATTCATCTTAAGTTGATGGTCTTTATCAGAAAGACATTTGCTTGTTTAGGAGGTGCTCCCCTTGAACAACGAATCATTGAGGCATAAAATCACCTTTGAACTTAAGAGGTGAACTGAACAACAACTTGGGAAAAACATGAATATTTAAGCCCTTTGTAAGCAGCAAAATGACAACAATTGTTGATCGCTATTATGTTACATACTGGTTTTACGTTCAGTGAAAAGGAGGCTTAAGGTTGGTTTATGCTTGACGCGTCCGCGAGGTCCGCACGGAAAAGTTGCGTCATTTTGCGTCATCTTAACAACCACGCCCCTCCACCGCGCCTCCGCACGGCCCAAAATTTCCGCAACGCGAACCTAGGAAATTTTCTAACCACGCGGACGGTCGGACGCGGAAAAACATGGCAGACTGGCAAGAACTAGTATGGCAGAGGTTCGTAAATACAGACATTTGTATGATTCAGTTCTCAAAGATCACCGTGATCAACATGTTGTTAATAATTCTTGGAGAGAAATAGCTCGCACTGTCGGAAAAGACGAGGACGCTGTTAAAAATGCTGGAATGCCATGTTGTAAACAACAATAATTTCTACTTCTACTATGGTGTAGTGTTGGATGCATGCCGTAGAGCTCCATGCTGCCCCGTTCAGTTTGGGAGAATATTGGCTCACCGCAGAGACAAGCCGCATGAACCATAAACGCTGCGAGTTGTGAGGCGCGTTCCATCTGCGAGCCGCATCACCAAGCGGAAAGTGAATGCGCCAAGCATAAACCAAGCTTAAGGCTCAGCATCAGAAGTGTTGCGGGATTGTCCAAGCTTGCTGTGGTGGCACTGCCCACCCTGGACTTCCCCCTAGAACCGCCTCTGATTAACGTCAGGAGGACCACTTCGGTTTACATCTTGTTCAATCAGTTATGATTCTTTTGAGGTAATCGTGTTTATCGTTCTAGTATTGGGTCAAACAAAAACACAATTTTAATCATCCAATTGTCTCATGATTATTCTACACAAAAACCATCTCAAATCATTTAAAATAATTTTTGAGTCCATATTTTCTGCATTTACGGCTGTTTTAAATTCATTTATTTCCCCTTTAATTTAAGACTCTTTAAGGGCGTTTTGCGTTCCCAGGAAGCGGACTTTTACGCCCTCCATGCAGCAGCTGCAGCCGCGGACCTGCGCGCACCGCTGGAGGCAGTCGAGCTGCAGACCCGCTCGCTGCAACTCCGGCTGATGTTTGCGGCGGAGAGAAGACAAGAGAGGGGGAGGACAAGGGGAGCTGGGCGGACATGACATGTGAGCAAAGTCTGCACAGATACACCACAGAGTCAAAGTATGTTATCAACGGCGCGGCGCTCCACCGGACTTTGCGCAGGTGAACGAGAGAGGACTGGTTGAACACTCTGCGCTGAGTGGGGGAGGCAAAGCCCGCTCCTCAGTCCGTCAGTCAGGTGCAGTCCGTCAGGAAGAGCCGAGCAACTGGGTGAGTAACTAAGCGTCCGGCTGAGACCAACACGCCGCCGCGCACTGACAGCATCGTGACGGCACTTCCCAGTGACCGCAGAAAGGGACGCATCGGATAGGACACCATGTCAAAGGAGACTCGAGGCAAAGGTAAGGGGGTGCAACGTCATGCATGGTCGCGTGCTAACAGGTAGACCCGTGTGTCTCGTGCTGCTGGGTTTTGGTGTGTAACCTGTAACGCAGCCGCAGCTGCTGCATGGATCGATGGATGGACTCGTATAGGAATGCGCGTCGGACCTCTGCGGGTCAGACGGTCCGGTCCAGTCCGGTCCGGTGGACTGTCCTCATCTGACACAGACACGGTGCGTGTCTGCAGGTGGTCGTGTCGCTGCGGGGTCAAGTGAGGGAAAGCTCAACTGTCTCTCCTAAATGCGCTGCTGTGTCTTGGTTGATTATTTTGTGTTCAGACATTTAAATATGATCCGTTCTCTTAAAAATCTGGAAGAAAAAGTCAAAGATGCTTAATTGAGGTGAAGTAAATCCAAAAGGAGGGGTTCAGTGTGTGTGTGTGTGTGTGTGTGCGTGTGCATGCGCGCGCGTGTATTGTGCTATTAATAGCAGACATCTTTTTCATGCATCTGATTTGGTTGTTGAATTGGAATAGGCGGAAATGAGAGTCGACAGGGCTGCAGCAGCAAAAGCCTTTGAAGTCGTGACATTTCTGGTTTATTGTTGCTTTTTGAAAGGATCATTTAGCTGCTGGATGAGCCACCTGTTTGCATTGTTGTCACAAAGTTAATCAGTGATTCAGTCTGAGCAGCATTCTCACTTTTAACTCTAACGCGATGTGTTTCCCTCACTCTTAATACTGATTTAAACCGGATTACATTGTCTTGATTTCTGAAATCATTTAGAGGAGCTTGCATTAATGCTGGCAGCTGGGGATGCTGTGTGCAAAGATACACCTCCCATTTCTTCCTTTAAAAAAGGGCAACTTTCTGAATCTTAAACAGCTCCTGCTGGTGCTTGTGGCCTCAGTGCTCTGACCTTTTCCATAGTTGCAGGAGGAGAACCAGAAGTTTCCTGAGGGGACTAACATTTTAGATCACTGTCGGGCTAAGTGGTGGCAAAAAGTGGCAGAGACAGGGTAATGGTCACTCAGTGTGGTCATTAATGCAGCTCTGCATCGTGTGGATTTCTGATGCTGATTTAAGCAAACTGCTGAGCTCAGGTGAGGCATTAACCCTATAAAATCTGCAGTTTAAATAGTCATTTTTACTTTATTCTCATTAATTACCTTGTTGCATGCAGATATTCTTTGCAGATTTTATCCAAGAGTGTTATGCGTGAATAAAATCGGAATATAACAAGCTTTTATGCATAAAAAATCTTTGCAAATATTTCGCTTTTGCATGAATTTCAATTCAACTCAATTCAAAAATACTTTATTAATCCCAGAGGGAAATTGATTTGAATTTGATTCATTTTTACAAACTATTCAGCTCTGTAACCAAAAGCTGCATTCTTCAGACAAAAAGAAATAAATTAAACATTATTTAGCATTACCAACAAGACAGGAATTCTAAAATATTAACATAGTAATGAAACAGAAGGAAATTAGTAATTTTTTGGTGGGTGACAGCTATTTAGTATGGTCCAATTGTTTCACAACTTCAAATGTGTAAAAAAATAAAGTCGCTGAGGACTTTTTCTCTGTTGTTTTGCTGTTTTGGGCTTTGATTTAGAAAGTGGAAAAGGGCCCTTCTGTAACATCTTCCAAACAATCCAAAAAAAGATAAGACAACAAATTTCAACTAAACAGACAAAACATCCACATTTCAGATTAAACCAGAACAATAGCAGGTGTAGCAGGTGGAGAGGGATGAAGCTCATCCAGTTGAACTCTAGTTCACAAACTTGTTAAAATGCAGACCGGTTGTGGAAATGCTCATGGTTATTCTGGCTCGGCGTCAGCTCCTGCACCTGCACAGTCCAGACGGAAAAGAGGAAACCGAAAAATTGAGCATGGAGACTATTTTTAGTTGACAAACCCATAAGACTAATTAGATTCTTCTGCGATATTGAAAACACTTTTAAACAAACTGCTGCAGCTGTATTTTTCTATTTTTCCAGTGAATATTTCTTACATTTCTTTCAGCGACACAGTAAAACTCTCAGGTTAATTGAAACTTCACAGCCAGGCCTTTTATTATTGTAGCAGAGCTTTGTGAAACCATGCTTCAGCTAGCAGGTTGACGGTAGCAAGCTGTAGCTGTGTTGCTGTGTTGTTATTGTCGTCACTTCACAATATCTGCATTCATGAGTTATTCCTTCACATTTTTCTTAGGTGGAGCAGCTCTGTTTTCAGCTTTCTCAGTACAGACGTTTGATATTATGCAAGCTTCTCTTGTGCACACAGATCTTTGTCATTTTTTAACTGAAGGAATGCCGTTGGGCATCCTACACATCTTAGTGCTTCACTGCAAAGTCTGCATAACTTTACTTAACGCAGTGTGTGAAATGCAAGGCATATTATGCTCCATGCTTCATCATTTAGTCAGTGTTTTTGATCTGAGAGTTTCGGATTGCACAGCCTTTTTCATCCTCTTGCTCTGATTTTATTAAACAGAAGTGCCTCCTCATCCAAAAAATGGAAAGATAAGTTGAGAGGACCAATAAGGATTAAGATGTGATGAAAGCTATTTTCAGAGATGAGTAACTCATCAAAATAAAGCAGGTGCTACTGTGAATTTAGAGAACTTTAATATGCCATTTTAAAGGTTTTTATTGCAATGACTCTGCATTCAAAGTGAACCATTTTTATCTTTCTGCCATTCAGTTTTCTTCCCATACTCAAGGTTGTCAAATTTAGATTGTTAAACTGAGTTTAAACCTTTAACTGAGCTAAGGGTGCCGGTACAAAACATATGTTCTGTTAATTTTATTTTTCATCAATTATGCATAAAAAAAGTGTTGTTTAATTGGTAACAGATTGCAATGAGTCGATTGCTATGAGTTTTTCTGTAAAAGTAGGATTTACGGCCGAGACAAAACTGCAAACAATTGCAAGAATTTCTCTTTAGGGGTTTTTACAAACCAGCTGAGAACCTCGCGCTCTAGAGCTCTCTGAGCAACCAGTGTTTAAAGAGGGACTGCACACCATCAGAAAAGGTAACTCCACCCCTAGTCAAGATTTTAATAACACTATGAAAGTGGGCGTTGCCAGGAGGCACGGAGTGGCATGGTCAAGTGTGCGGAATTTCCATCCCAAGAGGGAGTGGGAGTGGGAGGAGACAGTACCGATGACGTGAAATTGTGGCAGCCTCAGTCAATCACAAATTTAAAATGCAGTAGCCAGAGTTCAACCCATAGGGGGCGGCACTAACGCATTTTTAGACATAGATTCTAGATTTAATCAAGTTTACTCAAACATGTCAAAAATGCACAGAAACAGAAAGATTGCATTTGTAAAAGCCCAATTATACAGTTTATAAGCAAAAAAAAAACTTAATTTGGGGTTTAGTTACTCTTCAAGCATCTTGCAAAAAGTTTGAGTTGACTCAGCTGAATGCATACTTTAGAACCTTTTGCAACTCTTCTGTATATTTTTTCTGTGTGTTGATTCATAATTATCTTCTTTTTTCTTATTTAACACAGTGATGTTAAATTAGATGTTTCTTTACCTTCGGCTGACATGTTTCGGCCGGAACTTCCGCCTTCGTCAGCGCTGCCAGCTGTTCATGGCCTCTCTTCCGTTTTTGTGCTGGGCAACAACCATTTACAGTTTTCGTACTAAGTTGAAAGTTTAGATTTTTGGAGTTAAGTGTACAATACATCTTCTGATGCACATGGACCCATCATCAGTGTTGTTTTCCTGGAGTCACTGGGTGTTTTGAGTCTTTAAACATCACATAGTCTCTTCCAGGCCATAGCTGGTGTCCATATAGCTGAATGGTTCTCCTCTCTTGAGCCACAGCCATCTAGAGTTGCTTCAGTGGTGCTGTGGATGGCTCGTCTCTTATGCTCACCCTTGATACCAAGACAACACAACATTCAAACCTGGTATGCAGCCGGTGAACCCTTGCATCCAGTTGATGATGTCACACAAACCTTTGACATATCTAAATATGCATTCTATGGTTTATTTCCTCTTCTAACTTGTACCTCCAACATAAAGCACTTTAGAAATAAGAAAAGGCACACCGGTGACGTTCAGAACCTTTTGTCACACAAAATTAAAGCATTTTTGAAAGGTGGCTTATAGTTTGTGCAAACAGCAGCTTTTCTCTGAGGCTTACTCTTTAGGCTTTGTTTCCATCTTTATATCATTAGGTTTACTCACTGAGAGATACACAGGTGTACAGTTACCATGGTAACATAAAAAACTACCAGTAAATGGCCTTTATTTGATGTAGCACCTTCTGGTCTTACAACCCGCCAAGGCATTTTATAGCAAAACCAGTCATTCACCCATGCTGGTGGTGATGAGCTATGTAACCACAGCTGTCCTGGGGTACATTGACAGAAGTGAGGCTGCCATAAACAACAACCTGCGAACAGTGTCAGCAGGCAAGGTGGGTTAAGTGTCTTGCCCTAAGGCACAAGCACTGCGACAGAGTCGAACCTGCAACCCTTTAGTTACAAAGCAGTGATGTCCAAACTTTTCAAGACGAGGGCCAAAATCATGAAGTTAAAACTCCTCATGGACCACAAAAAATATATTTTTATAAGAATGCAAACATTATTTAATATTTTTCATTGGTTCTGCTCAAAAAAGTCCTAAAATAGATGTATTAGTAAACCGCCTCCTAATGCTGAGGGCCACGCAAAATCACTCAGAGGGCCACACATGGCCCCGGGGCCACACTGTGGATGCACCTGACTTAAAGTACAACTAAATAGTTTTATAAACTTGAAGCTAGAGCTTTAACATTGATCGCAGTTGAGTTAGAAACTTGACCAGTATAATATTTAACACCACTCTGCAGCCCTCTACTAGCCAGATACTGCACATAACAGTTTTGTGGAGCAGGTAGCTACCTGCTTTACGACAGTTAGCTGTTATGCTAACAATTAGTATTTTCAGTTTGCCAATCGACAATAAAAAGCACAAGAAGAAAAAAAAGAAGTTTGCCTTTTCTTTTGGCATC